AAAAGCTCCTCATTTTAATCCTCAATAAAAACAGTTTGCCGGATAAACCGTCAACGTCAAGAATCTCTAATAAATTGATCAAAAGACAACCCAAAAAGTAATCCAAAGTAATCCTGCAAATTTCGACGGGAGCTCGTAAAAAGCGTTTTTTTTTTTAGGTAGGTAAAAATCTCGAAAGTTTCGCCGCCCCGCGAGATAAATCATACCTCCAATGATGCGGAAAGTTTTCAAATAAATCTAAGTGCCTTTCGCGAATATTACAAACAAATATGTACTGGCGGCAAGTTTGTGGCTGTTCCGTTTTATGCGGGATTTTGTTTTCATCAAAAGGAAGTTGTTTATGGTGCAATACAGCTAAATATGATGACTAGCGCATTTTCGATGCAGCATCCAAATGATTCAGAATTCAGACTATCATATTTAACCATACGTATTGTTCAATCTGGCTGTAACCAGAATCAATACAAACTTATCGAATAAGCCATTGGTTTGGTACTTTGATTAAAACAATTATTTTGATGGACCCCTGAGTAATTTTCAGTTATGTGACTGCTATTTCTCTTTATTTTTGTAAAAATGTCGTGTTTCATATAACTAACAGTATAACGTACTTATTTGGCAATTGCCTAATTATGCGTACGGCTAGTCAGCTTCAGTTCGGAGGCCATGGGCTTATGGGTTTCTTGTATACAGCTTACCTTTGGGCGCCACCAAGTTAATTGTGACTTAACTAGGAAGATTACTTATTGCATTATTACAGAAGTTCGTAAAGTGAGGTTATGTACATGTTTGGTCTCACTGTAGATCCAGACAGAAGCAGTTAGCAGTTCTAAGTTTGTTCCAGACTATGGTATGTTGAGTGAGTCCTATAGAAGTCCTATCCACGTTTGATCTGTTTAACGTAGAACTCAACATGGTTCTATCAGAGTGGTACCAAAAGGGTTGCTGAAGGGAAGCTACGAAAGCCCCAACTAAGAGCAACCTAGTTCCAGCCTAGAATCTCTCTAGATACAGCCTAGGATCCTCTAACTACAGCCTAGGAGCTGTCTAGATATAGCCTAGAATCTTCTAAGTACAGCCTAGGACCTTCTAATTACGGCCTAGGACCCTATAACGATGTTCGTATAAAAAAACAGATGGAGCCTGAAACATTAGAAATAATCTGACGGATGCTCTAGACCAAAAGTGAAGTCTTAAACTTCCAAAAGCTGCTCGGAACGATCCTATTGAAGAAATGAAACACGTGTTGTAGGTTAATAATGCTGAAAAAAATCTCAAAACTTACCGAAACAAAATCCAAAATGACCAAGGGACAACTCTAGACAATGATCAACAAGAAATTAGTCTAATTAGAGTTTTCCTGGAACAAAATTCCGAAAAGTCTTGCCCAAAAATTATTAGAGCCAAAACCGGACCTCACAGCATGAGGTCTCAAATCAAAAAGGCAGATTCTTCCTTGTAGATTTGGGAAGAAGGCTTCCATTTGTTAAGCTTCTAAGGCCCGGTTGTACAAAGAATGGTTCAACACAAGTTCTGTTGAACCGTCGTTCAATGTTGAACGTGGTTCAGAGTTTCGAGTGTTGTACCACTGCCGGTTTACCTGAACCATCAGTTGCAATGCCCACAATAAAAAGAAGGAAGAAAATAGGCGCAACCCAACCCATAACCTATCAAATTTATTGTTTATTTTTTGTGTTTTCTTGTTTACTATTTATTTAATTTTAATTTCCATAGTTTTTTACACACAGGACAGGTTACAGATGCATAATTTCATCTATGATAAATCACACTGCTTGTTTATCCAAACTGAATCTGTCCTTGAATTATTCTTTATCATTACAAATGTTCAAATGATCTGCTCGCTGTTCGATTTCTGAATATCTGTGGGGCTCGAGTAAGTACATAATTTATATGTAACATAAAATTAAGTAATTTTCAAAAATCCTCGTCATCTGTAATATCTTCCTACAGTTCCGACTCAAGATCCATTTTCAATTAAATATAAAATAACGAATATCCACCATGGTGATCCCTTATCAAAAAACAAACAAAACATAGAAGAGTCAGGTTAGAAAAACCCAAAAAAGACTTGCACTCCCCTTGAACGCCCAAATTCGGACGTTCAAGCTCAACCTCAGTTCACACTCTGAACCGACCATGTACAAGTTTTTTCCTTTGAACCACTAGTCAGTGTGAACTTCGGTTGAACGTCCGTTGTACAACCGGGCCTAATTTTGACATTGATGAAAATTATAGAAGAGGGCGTGTTAAGTTTCACCCCAAAAACACTAACTGAAAAGTGGGTTGTGTATAAATGACTCCAGATAGCCGGTGAATGTTGAAAATTGCCCATAGAACATATATCAAAAAGTAGAACAGGTCTAAAGAAAACGCCTAGACAAGACAGCTGTTCAATGACGGATGTATCATGAAACTGAAAAATCGAAAAAAGTAAACAACAGCGACTATCATAACCTTAGATTATTTGATTGGATTTGCCAACTAGATATGATGATACTCTTTCCTTTTTATAAGATTCTAATCAATAACAGTGGGCCCTGCCGTACTGAATCAAACCTTCCTAGATCAATTAACTACAATTGCAAACCTGAACCAAAAAACTTCCAGTACAAGACTGTACTTTGAAGTAAAATCTGTTTTTTTTTTAAAGATAAAAGTCAAAATGACATTATGTTGGCAATACAATGTAAAATTGTCAATCTTTCAAATTTTTTATGGAGAAAAAGCTTGGTTTGCCAACATAGTTACTAAATTTTTGACTTGGGGAATTATCTTTGAAAAAAAAAGAGACTTTAACAAAATCTGGGTATAGAAAAGATAGACGTTTATTCATTTATTTCTTTATAGTTCTATATAGAATCATATCCACCAGAGCAAAACAAAGTAACTTGCTTGAAGAGAAATTGAAAATGCTACAACAGAACCAAGCTACTAGACACATAGGCATCAGTGAGACTAGTTTACCCATGTCACTGCATATTATGATAAAACCCCTACTGACCAAGGCACATGTCTATGATCAGTAGGCATCAACACTGTGGAGTGCGTTTAGAAATGGCGTGTGAAGGTTTATCAGAGTGTTCTGACGTCATTACTTGGAGTGCACTCTGGGTGCGCTATTCCTGAACGTCTTGGAGTGTTGCGGTAAATGTCAACGTCAAATCTGGTGAAAAACGCTGAGTGGGGTAATTTGGGCGCACTCAGAGCACGTCAATTCTCGATTTCTGAACGATTCCAGCGTTACGCTCCGAGTAAGCACCTGTTAATTTATGAATGGTTCAAAGTTACTCTAGGGTCACTCTCACACCTAGAGTGCTATTTATAAACGCAACCCTGGGTCCTTATTATTGAAACTGGGGAGCAGCGTTCCCAGGAGAACGCGTGTTCCGTCTTTCTCAATGATATGCAAATGATAATATATAGTAATAAAGACGCAACACTCGTTCTCCTGGGAACGCTGCTCCCCTGTTTCAAGAATAAGTACCCTGGTGTGCTCCCTCAAGCCCCTATTATAACAAAATGAGAACATGCCAGAGGGGCCATATACACTTATGTCCTGTTCGCATTAATAATCCAAAACACAATCCATAAAAATCAGTTAATATCGAAACAATACAAATTTAAAAATTCATCAACCCATCAATTATTTCAAACGGCCGACATGCAGTTAAGCGCATTTGATAACATCCATCCATCTCCGTCATGCAAAATGCCAATTTTTTTCCCTCTGGTTCCTAATTCAAATAACAAATGGGTATTTTGGAGCATTCAAAAAAATAGTTTTGTTTTACATTTTATGAGTTTGCCAACGCTAAACTCATTTTGCAAAAAAAAAAAAAAATAATAATGGGATTTTTGCAAAATGAAATTTTAAAATTCCAATCTCGTCAGATAGTACAGCGCAAATACTCTAAATGGAAAATGAAATTCACAAAATAAACATGTGTTAAAGTTGAAAAGTAATATTTGATAATATGGAAAGCAAAATGCATTGTAAAACCATTGTTAGATTTTTCAGCGTCTTGAAAATATTCAAAAGTTTAATAGAGTTATTCATATTATTCGTTCAAAAACGTACCTGATAATTAAAACCTCAAACCTTCTAAAATGGTATATTATTGCCAGGTTTTATGTGAAAATAAATCGCCTATATGGAGACACTAAGCAGAGAGGCGAATCGAGTTTTATGCGGTCGTTAACGTGACACACTCGTAAAATTGGAGGGCGAGGAGAATTTTGACTAAGAGTTTAATGGGCTGAGAGTAAACGAAATTGAAAATTAAGCAGGAAGCTAACACAGTTTTGGAAAGATTTTGATAATAAATGTAAAGTTGGAGGTTTTTATTAGGAATTGGATAGTCCATGAAAACTTGTGAATTAGGAGATATATTTATGATAGTTGATAGTTCCGGACTGAGGAAATCATCTTCTTTTCTTACTATTTTGATCGATTGTATTTAAAATATTATTAAATATTGTATGGAACAATTCATATTATTATTCATAGTGTAATCACAACAATAATCATAATCGGTATCAAGTGATCTCCCATGATGATGATGTCACAAAAGTCGAAGATGTTGTTAAACTTAAATAGGATTATTCTTAAAAATTTTCACTAGAAACTTTTACATCGTTAAATTGGATTAATTAAAATATATATCTATTTATTCATTTTTATTGGTAAAAGAAGAAAAAAGTGTGCTTAAAACTCCGCCGGGCACACAACTTGGCAAAACGGAAAACTCTCCAAGAAAGAATAAACCCACTTCCGCTTATCTTATTTATTTCTTACATATGCCCGAAAGTTTATGCGAAGCTCGGAAGTTTATTTGCATTATTGATCGGCACCGGTTTATTTTTACGGCAAGAAAACACGGAAAGTCGTTTAAATAGGAATTTAGTTTTCGGAATTAAAACTTTTCTCGTCTCAAAAGCTCGGTTTTTCTTATCTAATTTTTGCTTTTTTTTTCGCACAGGCAAATCCACAGGAATTGTCACCAATACTAGGATAACCCACGCGACTCCTGCTGCCCTTTACGGACACGCTCCCTCGAGATATTGGGAGGACGATTCAAAAGTTCCTCCGGCTTCCAGAAAATCGTGCAAGGATTTGGCTAGGCAATTGATTGAAAATGATCCAGGACGAAATATTAACGTAAGAATTGCAAGCGAAAGTATCCAGAACCTACATTGCTTTACTACTAAACCTGATAATATTTGAAAAAAAAAATTTGCAACTTGCAATCAATTTTTTGATGAGAATAGAGGCCAAAAAAATTATAAAACAGTTTTTGTTTCAAGATGATCAGTAGTATAGCTAGCAGGGTCCGGCAACTTTCAAAGTGATTTATAAATAGAGTTGTTATTTATTTATTTTGTTTCTGTTTTATATTTCAAACATTTTCATTCTTATTGATCTAATTTGGCAGTAGTTACAAACTCCATTCAAGCCATGCAATTCCTGCAGCTCCTCCACCTAGTGCAACTAATGCACTTAGTCCAGCAAATATTGGTATTAATGATATATATATATATATATATATATATATATATATATATATATATAATGCTACCAGTTTTGGGTTTTCTAATTATTCTAGCTGGTCTTATTTTACCTTTGAATTTGTTTAAACTTTTCAAAGCAACTTTTGTATTTGCGCAATCTGTAGCATGTCTGACCTTTCTTGAAAAATGCTGGCCCTTAGGTAAGGTAGGGGATAGCACCATGAGCCACATGCACGTTTTTGGTGATTCCCCTTTCAAGTCAATCTCCTTGATAAAAAAAATATAAAGCAAAAGTGAAGTGGATGATTAGGGTCTCCACACAAACTATTGTTTGTGATATTTTGATGAGTGAATAATATCAAGTTTATAATTTCTCCTAATATTTATTTATTTAAATATTTATAGTAAGTTTCTCGAAGTCGTATAGTTAGTTATGCTTGAAACGGAAAACCCGGCAATAATTTACACAAACATAATCCCTCTTTTAAGCCTGACTTTGTGTTTATTTAGGTTTTACTGCCTTCCAGAGTTTCCTTGCTTTGCATAAGCCATTTTAACCATACCATCAAGTTTTATTATTTTTATTCCCATACAAAATATAATCTAAAAAAATTCTCCTCCATTCACCCGTAATTTCCGACGCATTAAGCAAAAGCCATAAAACAATTACAAAAACCACCTCTGGAAAGTTTTCTTATTATTTTAGCTCGCCTTCCAAGAAGAAACTCTATAAAAATATTTTAAGCACTTTTATTTTTTAACAAAGGAGATTTTATCACATTTGTCTTAAGGTAATACCTCACAAAACCATTTTCTACCAAAGTATGCTTCAGGGATAGAAAAAACAAGTTCCAAATGTTACTCGGGGGACACATTCACTTCCAAATAAAATTTTATTTTAATAAATATTAAAGTGTGGCAAAGCTCCAAACAATCCTTGACATTGAATTTACGAATTTCAGCTCCTCTGTTTTATAAATGAAGTTTTTTCTGTTGGAGGATTTTTTACGTGTCGTCGAGAAATTTTCCCGTGCGAGAAAAATTCCTTTTTCAATCACTTAACAAGACAGACGTGTCCACAAGCAAAATCTGTCTTTATGCCTTTCATTTGTCAACGCAAGATTATTGGATGTGGCATAGGGAATATGGGGGATATATATTAAGAATTCATAAGGAATAGGAATTTTCTTTTGGATATGTGAAGAATTAATAATGTGGCTATGTATTTTTTTTTTCAATGTATGTAAACTTCATGAATACGAAAGCAATTTTTAATCTTGATTTAGTTTGAGATAAGGTGATTATTCGATTTGAAAGGGAAGTGTGACACATTGTGCTATTCCCCTCTTGGTGCAGCACTGTCTTGAACCTTAGGAGCCCGCAACTTAGGTCAAACATGCTTTATTTCAAGTTCCAGAAACCTGTACCCGTATCTGACACCCCTAGTGCCCCGTCAAGAGGCCTGTGATGGCTATAAGTTGTTTAGCATGATGTCATACTAAAAACTCGAAATATATCAATGAAAGACAAAAAAGTGGTGAGCTTCTGAAAAATCGCAATTGTAAAGAATAAATAATATACAGAACATTAATAATTGCCTTTAGTATAGTCTTTTCTGATTAAGAAACAATTGAAATACTACAACAACCAACTTCATGACATCACATCTCCCTAGCCACCTCCTACAAACAGTCCTACACTACCTACTGACACCTCAAAACAATAATTCATAATTCAGTGTACTGCCAAATTTTGTACAATACTTATACTCAAAAATCGTGTACTCATCCAGAGTAAATACTATCAAAACAATGAACATTTTATCTTAATTAATTTAATTAGAAACCAAAATATCTAACTAATCATTTTCTAGACGGAACAAAACAGTTAATTCGATTATCCAAATTCTTCAGTAAAATTAATTTCAATTAACAGTCATTTGAATTAAATTTCTCTATCTATACTAAGCACAAAATAGTCAAAATCAATTCACTCAAGTTTATTAATATTTATGCAATAAAGTTTCACATTCAATTCACTTCATAGTCATTTCAACATTAATAAAGTCGAAATAAAACTTGTCATTAGAGTTCTTACATTGATCCTTGAAATCACTTATTATTCTAATTTCTTTTGGTAATTTAGAGCTCGCACATAATGTTGAACGAATTAAAATGTTCTTTCTTTCACAATTTTCCGTTACTTTTTCAAAGTTTGATTTAACGCGTTTTCCCGAGGCAACAAAATAAAAGAAACTGTTTTATCCGAACTGACTCATTAGGTACTGTAGACTTAAACTCAAGACTGAACTGATGTGAAGACTTCTAAAACTGCTGTTTTTATATTTTTCGTTCTTTCAAAATATTCCAGGTCATGTCAATTCATTGACCGTTCTTTTTTCCAAGAAATATATTTATTTGTTTAAAACCGAATTATTATGTCGCAATTTCCTGGATTATCGGGGTCAACAGATTTGTTGTAAGAATGTGAGGACGAATAACTCAAAGGATGCCAAAAAGCTCGTGTCGGCCATAAATCACTAATTTAATTACTTTTACCTTGATTTTAATATTTTTACGGATTTCATTTATGTGATGACACACGCTGGGTGACTAACTAATAAAATTTGAACGTATATAAATATTTTAAACTTCCTGAAGACGCTCGCCAATCCCAGGAGCCGCACTTGATGTACTTGTTTTGGCTCTGGAAATTCTTTAAATGTCCTAATCTTCCTATCTCCTGGACGTTTACTTTGTACATACAGTGCAGACTAACAAAGAACACTTCGTTAGGTTTAATTTAAAACCCGTTTCCCTGATTTTATCTAGCACTCCCTGAAGCAGTAACATACCCTCCTGAACCGTACGAGGTGGAATAAGAAGGTTATCTATGTAGGCCAGCACTTGCTCTCCGCGCATGCTTCCAAGCATTTTGTTTATTGCTCGCTGAAAAACAGCTAGACTGTTGGCCAACCCAAAAGGTACTCGAAAATATTCATATTGCCCGTCTAGGGTAACAAACGCTGTCTTATGCGTGGATGCAGGATGAATAAGTACCTGATGAAATCCTGCCACAAGGTCCAGTGTTGTATATTAACATTTCCCAGACAGCTTGTCCAGTGCCTCCACGAGTGGCATAGGGTACCTGTTTTTTTAAAGTAATTCTGTTCAACTCTACTACCTGAAACTATGATGGCATTATATCATTAATACCAATATTTGCTGGACTAAGTGCGTTGGGTGCGTTAGGTGGAGGAGTTGCAGGAATTGCATGGATTGAATGGAGGAGACTTTTTGCCTATTTGCAGTTTGTAGAGTTATCTGACATCACCCTGGCAGCAATTTTCCAGTCAGCTATCCTTGCGCCAGCATGTAAAGCGTGCATTGTATGTTGTTGTTGTAACAAACTAAAAAATTTAACTCTAAAGAAAATTTCGTCAGTTTGAAATATTTGGATTAAAAACCTTAAGAAAATTGTCAATTATCGCTTCGCAATCAATCCAGAAAAAAAATCCGGCCTTAACTCAATTTTCTCTCTATATCGACACAAAATCAAAATTCGCTCGGAATCTCTGGAGGCGGAAGAAGATCATCAAACTTGTTGTGACGAAAAAACAATATCGCGACTTTTATAACAAAAAGTAATATAGAAGTTGTATACTGTTTAAGCGAGCGTATATATAGGTCCGAATAAGATTTACGCGTCTCGCGGGGCATATAAATTCATTTACGATCGCTCGGGGTGTAATTTAATGATTTTTCCGTTAACCGATAATCCTAATGGATCTGAAAACGGAATAAGGCCAGATTCACATCTTAAGAGATGAGTCTCAGCATATGAAGAAAATGCACGACTATTTTCCATATTGAAAAAATATTCTCTCAACCTCAAAGCATGGAAATGCCATTAAAAATATTTCGTATTTTTTCTCTGAAAAGCCTTTTGTACGCCTACCTCTAAACTCAAATTACACACTCTTTTTTCTTGAATTTTACTTCACAAGAGGCGAATAAACCGTTTTCCCGTAAAACTATGCCTTTGGGATAAAAACAAAGCGAACTTTCGCTTTGGGAAAACCTACCAAATACCATTTCTATATGGAGTTTTGTTTGTGCTAGGATGAAATTTCTTTTCAATCGTTTGAACAACGGCGTTGACGTATAAAATTTAAATTCAAAACCGAACATTACCTGTTCCCTGTTCACTTAGGATAACGAAAATAGCAGCATAATATAAGCACTTATCTTATAAAGATATTTTATGCTCGTAGTATCGATCCCAAGTGAATTATTATACTTTACCGACACATATAAGATGGTTCTCCATTAAATCCTAATAGCGTTCTCTTAAACGTAGCGGAACAGCTTCAGCTACAAACTAGATGTAATGGAAACTGAACGAGTCATTTTGTTATTACGTCTTCTCGGTTTACAGTTTCGGTGATTTGCTTTTGGCAATGGTTTTTTAGCAAGGAATGAATTATATCTGGGAGGCGGTTTTATTGGAAACTTAATGGGCTTTGAGCCAAAGAAAAGTTATACTTTGGCCAGAAAAATTGTTTTGCCACATTCTTAAAGATCGATGGATATCTGCAATATCTTAACATCTGTAGACTTACCTTTCTTCAATACTTTTCAATGTTAGATAAAATCTAACAGGCTAGCAATGATATAAATATTAACAAATCCCATCGGAAGTTGATTGCCAAAGCCAAAAAGAAAATATAACCTCGACTTAGCCGCAGCGAAAATTAATTAAATCCCTACCAAACACACACAAACTATAATTAAATCCCGTCCTGTAGGTTTTAATGGGTGGCGGCCGACGTCATTGGCTTCCCAAAGTGGCTCACGATCCAGAGTTAACGAAAGAAGAGGGCCGTCGTCTGGATGGCAGGAATTTGATCGATGACTGGCTGAGAGATAAGAAAAAGCGCGGCCTTAAAGCCGAATATGTTTGGAACAAGGGTCATCTGGAAAAGCTCAAGTCTAATCAAGTTGATTACTTGTTGGGTAAGTGTAAAAGCTTTCTAGACGATTAAGTTTTGTTTGATACTTTAATGCGATTTGGATTCGCCTACTTATACTCCTTGTGTGTCTTTTAAGGTTTATTTTCATATTCCCACATGGACTTTGAAGTTGACCGCGACCCAGGACCCTCGGGAGATCCTTCTCTTGCAGATATGACTCGTGCAGCTCTTTCAATTTTACTTAAGAACCCCAAAGGATTTCTACTCGTTGTTGAAGGTCAGTATAAGGAGATTTTCAATGATGCATTTAGGAAATATTATTAACGTGAAAATTGGAATTTTGCTTATAGATATTATTGAGAGAACTTTAAGAATATGACTGAGCCACAATCTTTATATTATATAATAAAGTCTCAACTTTTTTACGTGTACTTACAATTTTTCCTTAATTTCACTAAAAATCATTTGATTATTAAGAGCACGCACATAATGACAATGTAGTTTCACCGTTTTAAATTTTCTTTCCTCTCCTACTATTTCTAAGAAATATTGTCATAATCGGCTGGTTTACTGGGGCGTTGTAACTTTAGAGGTTGATGGAGAGAAACTCGCTCAAGTAGTATAAAAAGTAATGAAGATATTGAAATATTTATCAAGATCTTTGTCAGAAGCTGAAAAGTTTTGTTATCGGAATAACAATCGGCCAATCGAATCCAAACATATTGTGTAAATTACTCGAACATTTTTAAACAAATATTACATTTTTATACAAAAATATTGAAGAAAACCCATGTACAAGGTGTTTTTTTAGATATTGACACCCCACCTACAGGCTTTACCTTTACAGATAGAAGAAAGATGTAAATACAAAAAGTTTTGGCTGAATTTTCAGAAACAAAATTTGAATGTCGGAGATGTGAAATTTTGCATGCTTCCAGCTTTTTTCAAATGGGATGCCTTATATTTCATTCTATATTCTTGAAGAGCACAATGCCCCGATTCCAAAAATATATAGTTTGTCTATATTTGATTGAACAGTATCTCTATCTATTCGGCTCCAAAAATTGTAAAAATACTATCCTACAACTGATTTTGTGCTCTTCAAGAATATAGAACCAAATATAAGACATCCCATTTGAAAAAAGCTTTTTTAAAACTAACCTGACTCACTCCAATGTGAGTTATTCTCATTAGTTTAAAAAGTACACGTTTCAGGTGAGTGTCTTATTTGAACAGTTCAGGAATTAGTAATGTTACTTTACCAAACTAGTAAAATAATGTAACAAGTTATTCAAGTACAAATGAGTGAATTGTTGCGGAACTTATGAGTGGGCCTCTGCGGGACGAGCGTTGCGAGTTCCGCAGCCATCTATTCATCAATATGTTGTTAAATTACGATACTAACCTGACTCACTCAAATGTGAGTTATTCTCATTAGTTTAAAAACTACACGTTTCTGGTGAATGTCTTACTTGAACAGTTCAACAGTATATTGATGAGTAGATGGCTGCAGAGGTCCACCCATAAGTTTCGCAACAATCCACTTATTTGTAGTTGAATAATAACTTATTATCTATATGAAGTCAGATTTTGTAAGATTATCCACTTTTTGTCAATACCTTTTAACAGGAATTAGTAATGTTACTTTACCAAACTAGTAACATAATGTAACAAGTTATTCAAGTACAAATGAGTGAATTGTTGCGGAACTTATAGGTGGACCTCTGCGGGACGAGCGCAGCGAGTTCCGCAGCCATCTATTCATCAATATATTGTTCAATTACGATACTAACCCGAATCACTCAAATGTGAGTTATTCTCATTAGATTAAAAACTACACGTTTCTGGTGAATGTCTTACTTGAACAGTTCAACAGTATATTGATGAGTAGATGGCTGCGGAACTCGCTGCGCTCGTCCCGCGGAGGTCCACCCATAAGTTTCGCAAGAATCCACTTATTTGTAGTTGAATAATAACTTATTATCTATATGAAGTCAGATTTTGTAAGATTATCCACTTTTTGTCAATACCTTTTAACAGGAATTAGTAATGTTACTTTACCAAACTAGTAACATAATGTAACAAGTTATTCAAGTACAAATGAGTGAATTGTTGCGGAACTTATAGGTGGACCTCTGCGGGACGAGCGCAGCGAGTTCCGCAGTCATCTATTCATCAATATATTGTTCAATTACGATACTAACCCGAATCACTCAAATGTGAGGTATTCTCATTAGATTAAAAACTACACGTTTCTGGTGAATGTCTTACTTGAACAGTTCAACAGTATATTGATGAGTAGATGGCTGCGGAACTCGCTGCGCTCGTCCCGCAGAGGTCCACCCATAAGTTTCGCAAGAATCCACTTATTTGTAGTTGAATAATAACTTATTATCTATATGAAGTCAGATTTTGTAAGATTATCCACTTTTTGTCAATACCTTTTAACAGGAATTAGTAATGTTACTTTAGCAAACTAGTAACATAATGTAACAAGTTATTCAAGTACAAATGAGTGAATTGTTGCGGAACTTATAGGTGGACCTCTGCGGGACGAGCGCAGCGAGTTCCGCAGCCATCTATTCATCAATATATTGTTCAATTACGATACTAACCCGAATCACTCAAATGTGAGTTATTCTCATTAGATTAAAAACTACACGTTTCTGGTGAATGTCTTACTTGAACAGTTCAACAGTATATTGATGAGTAGATGGCTGCGGAACTCGCTGCGCTCGTCCCGCAGAGGTCCACCCATAAGTTTCGCAAGAATCCACTTATTTGTAGTTGAATAATAACTTATTATCTATATGAAGTCAGATTTTGTAAGATTATCCACTTTTTGTCAATACCTTTTAACAGGAATTAGTAATGTTACTTTACCAAACTAGTAACATAATGTAACAAGTTATTCAAGTACAAATGAGTGAATTGTTGCGGAACTTATAGGTGGACCTCTGCGGGACGAGCGCAGCGAGTTCCGCAGCCATCTATTCATCAATATGTTGTTGAATTACGATACTAACCCGACTCACTCAAATGTGAGTTATTCTCATTAGATTAAAAACTACACGTTTCTGGTGAATGTCTTACTTGAACAGTTCAACAGTATATTAATGAGTAGATGGCTGCGGAACTCGCTGCGCTCGTCCCGCAGAGGTCCACCCATAAGTTTCGCAACAATCCACTTATTTGTAGTTGAATAATAACTTATTATCTATATGAAGTCAGAATTTGTAAGATTATCCACTTTTTGTCAATTTGCCTTTTAACAGGAATTAGTAATGTTACTTTACCAAACTAGTAACATAATGTGACAAGTTATTCAAGTACAAATGAGTGAATTGTTGCAGAACTTATGAGTGGGCCACTGCGGGACGAGCGTAGCGAGTTCCGCAACCATCTATTCATCAATAGGTTGTTTAACTACGATACTAACCTGACTCACTCAAATGTGAGTTATTCTCAATAGTTTAAGAGGTACACGTTTCAGGTGAGTGTTTTATTTGAACAGTTCAACAGTATATTGGTGAGTAGATGGCTGCGGAACTCGCTGCGCTCGTCCCGCAGAGGTCCACCCATAAGTTCCGCAATAATCCACTTATTTGTACAGGGTATGTGTTTTTTTATATATTGACACATCTACAGCCTTTACCTTTACAGGTAGAAGAAAAGTGTAAATACAAAAGTTGTACAATTTTGGCTAAATTTTTAGAAATCATGGTCAGAAACAAAATTTGAATGTCAGAAAAGTGAAATTTTGCATGCGTCTAGCTTTTTTCAAATGGATGCCCTATATTTCATTCTATATTCTTGAAGAGCACAATGTCCTGATCTATATTTGATTGAGCAATCTCTCATATATTCGGCTGCAAAAATTGTAGCTACTTCTACTGATTTTGTGAACCATTCTACCTATACAGGTGAAAGCTGCAGGTAAAATTTGAGGTGCTTGGTTTCTCTGATAGCATTTTTAAAATTTTTAGAATCATATATCTTGGAGAAGGCTCAACCAAATATAGACAAACTATATAGTTTTGGAATCGGGAAATTATGCTTTTCAAGAATATAGAATCAAATATAGCGCATCCCATTTCAAAAACGCTGAAAGCATGCAATATTTCAATTTTTGTTTCTGACCATGAATTCCAAAAATTTAGCCAATACTGTACAACTTTTGTATTTACACCTTTCATCTACATGTAAAGGTAAAGGCTTAAGGTGTGGTGTCAATATATAAAAAAACACCCTGTACCTTGTCACGATATTCTCCATTTTCCCTCTGCCCTAATCCAAAAAAATCTATATAAAAAATTTCCCTCATAACCACAAGCTTCAAAAAAAAAAGAAAAAACGGGGCCAAAGCCCAATCATCAATAATGCAAAGGGACTCAAAACCTCCCTAAAAAGCTAGGGGTTAATATTATTTTTGTTAAAAGCCAATTGATATTCAACCTTTCTGCTGGACCAAAAGAATATATTTTTTTCGGCCTAAATAATTCTCATGCAATTCCAGATGTGCTAGATCGTTAATCAGTTTCACCATTTAGACAAGTAATCCAACCGCTGGACTGTCGAGGAAGATAACTGTATACACACATCTATTTATCATCAAGTTGGTAAATTACACACCAATTTACCATGTAGTTTAACCCCTCAAACTTTGGCTGCAAATATATGGCGATGTCCAATTAAATTCCAAATCATCCTAATTAGTTCGATTTTATTTATTTACCCTTTTGGTGAAACTAAAACCAAACTACGATGTTCGTCGAACTCTACCTGCATTGTTTGCTTTTGCAATTTACATGTTTGCTTTGTATATATATTCTTGGTTAATTAGGTACAACAGACAAATATATTATTGGCTAGGTCTAAAATTAAATTACACTATGTTTAAAGGGGAATTGTTTAGGATATGAGAAACTCTTTTATTAAAATTTCACAAGTTCATAACATGGATTTTCACACTTCAAAACTTCACAAGATATTTCCAGTTTCTCAGGCAGCGCCTGTTAAAATCCCTTTTCAAGAGAAACTTCTAGACGTGTGTGTGTGTTGTTGAGTTTATAATAGGAAATGTCGTAAATTTACTATATAATCTCTCTATTGTTTCTCTCTTGTCGTCAAAATTAAGAAGATCGCTTCACAGGTGCTGGGTAATTAATTAGTTTGCATGTATTATATTCAACCAAACTTTGCTCGAAGTTTTATAATGATTAAATTGATGAGTTGCAAAATATTTATCTTTAAAGTCACTCTATACCTATATAGGAACCATTTCAAGCTATCACTTTCCTTTCCTTTTGTATAAGTATTTTATAATTCCGTTTCAATTTGGAAAGTCTTAAAAAAGAAAGCTATAAAAGTTGAGAGAGCGTTCGCATCTAAACAAGAAAATAAATTTGACAAGCGAAATAAAGGTTTTCAAAGGGGGCCGGAACTGTGTTAACAATTTGAAATGCAAATGTTACACCTCTTTTTGTCGAATTGATATTCTCTTTCGTATAAAAAAATCCCTTTTTAATAGAGCATACGGTATTATATGAAAATAAAACCTGATTGGTTGCGATTTTTTTTTTTCGATAAAACCATTCGTTTCTTTAAAATAACTTTCGGAAGCTGATAAATTGGATCTTTCGTCTTCAACGTGAGTCATATTTTATGTTTCGATAAACCCTATAAAAATGGAATCAATAAAAAAAAAACACAAGGAACAGACAAGGACATATTGAGGCAATTTAGTTAAATAACATTTTCGCCCTGTTGTTCCTGCTTGGAACTTTTATATTATAAAAATGTTGATTTTTAAAAGATGATTGATCTTCTACGTTTCTTACGCACATGCCAAGCATAAATTTCCAGCCTACTTTTGTAGCGCCTCACGTTGGGCGCCAATTTATATAACGCTCTTTTGTCGGAACAAAAGAACTCATAATTATGTTCGACTATGCTCAGTGGTTCTTTAGTTTGGGGTGATCCTTGGTGTTGGTACAGTAAAGAGAGGGTGCCACTAGTTTGTATAAAATTATTTTCATTATCAATGAATAGCCAAACTAGACACTATTCAAATATTTAGCTATTATTTAAAAAGATAAATTCAAAAATCTGAAAAGGTAAAATAAATCCAGTACTTATCTGACATGTAGCCACTGCAATAAAAACACAAGTCCTGGAATTCTATAAACAATAATTTATTGACAGGATGTTGAACTTGTTCATTAACATTGAAACCAATAAATTGTTAAAAGGTGATTATTGTCAGTATCCAATTTTATAAAAAAAATTATAAGCAGCTTACGGGAAGCAATACCTAATTTAAATAGGTATATAAAAAGATTGAAATGTAAAACAAAAAAATAGATACCTAAGATGAGGCTTCTTACCTACGTGTAAGTGGTGAAGTCAAAATAAAAATAACATTTACTTTTTGACTGAAAGTCAATCAAATCCATAAAAAAATCATCAATGCGGAAAAATGATAAATAATCCCTAGGCAGCTTTAAATGTCAAAGACAGGCTATATGAAATCAAGGGTATCGGGGAGAGCTCAACCTTCTTACCTATAATTAAAGTTTAAAATAGGTAAACATAAAACTTAAATTTGACTACCTAAAGATTTTACAATAGTATACCGTGTAAAACTACCTACCACATTGTTATTGATTTGAAATTAAAAGTTAAATAAACCTTTTAAAAGTTAATGAATCCACAACATATTATATCGATCAGTACTCGATATTAAGGAAATAAATTTGTAATAACTATAATAATGCATAATTATTAGATACTTAATGAATAATGATAAAGAAAACGATAATAAAAGCTAATATTTGCCTCTGATAATAATTAATTATGTAAATTAATAATTAATTTTAAACGGTATTTAGCTATTCTAGCTAAACACTAAACACTACTATACGGTAAACAAATTAAGTCGATAATTGAATATACATAGATATTAATTAGCTAATAACGCTAAACGATAGGGGGCGATAAAGAAAAGGTAAAAATAAGTTACGGTAGTTAAGATGGCACGATGACACCCATAGGTAAGTAATTATACAAGTCTGAACGGAATCCTTGTAAAGCCTCGGAAGTTTTCACAAATTTGAGCTCTGGAGGTACCAAACTGGCTGGAGACAACCAGATAATGGTTGGGGATCATGGTTCTTGTAGGACACAAACTTTCCTTGAAAAGGGGGCCCAGATTTACTCTGAGTTTCAGGACAGCATGGTCTCAAATTTGTCAATTTTCACTTGGAGAAGCGCAGTCACGGATTTTTCGTCCTGCCGAAGGTGCCTGAATGAATTGAGGGGATATAAGGACTCATTCATCAGAGAGAAAAAGGAATGAACATACCTGAACGGCCGATAGTAACCTCACTTTCAAAAATCTTCACAAAAATCAACAATCGGTTGATTTTCCAGGAAACTTTCTAGTAGACACGATCAAGCACTCTTCTGGCTAGTTAATTTTCAAGAATATAGACTCGATGGCCAAAACCAAAGATAAAGTTTAAAGATTTTCAAATTTCTAAAAATCTGGACGACCTGTTTCGGTCTCAAGACAAAAGAGAATGAAGGCCAAGTCAGTACCAAAATTGATTCTGTGGTTTTTTCAATGTCACTAGATAGTTTTTTGGAGGCTTGCTACTTTAATTCAGCAAAAGTTAATAAAAAGTTAACGTAAAAGTTTAGATATGTTGTTTGATTGTAATCAGGAAGCTGCGTTGAGTTTATTAAGTTTGAAAATTTACATTGGAGCGACTAGAAATAAAGATATTTCCATTCCTGAACCTAAAGAAGAACCCATAAAGTAAGCACCGGAAAGACTATTTCTTAGATAGGAATTCAAGTCAAAATATGAAAATCACGCGAATGCACTATGACCTTTCAAATATCTAGACAACAGCGAAAACAAAACAGGCTGTTTTATCAACATCCTTTTTCATATCTCTCAAAAAATTGGATCCACATTAGATCATCTATCAGGATTATTATCCACACCAACAACCCTCTTTTTACTTGTTTGTCCTCTGATAACAAAATCCCTTCTTTTTTCTTTTAGGAGGTCGAATAGACCACGCTCACCATTACAATAATGCGTTCCGGGCTCTGGACGAGACCCTAGCGATGGAAACGGCCGTTTTGGCCGCTCTGGCCCTGGTTAACCCCACCGAAACGTTAATTGTCGTTACATCGGACCATTCGCACGTCTTAACTATTGGCGGACAAGCGACCCCTAGAGGACACCCAATTCTTGGTAAATACTCTATTTATATAAAAAGAACTTTTACAGTAATTTTTGTGTTTTCGACATTTAACATCAAATGAAATATTGCAATATTTGTTGATAAAACACCGTCAAATTTTAGGTCCAGATAGTAAAGTGTCGGACGTTGACGGTCAACCGTACACGACGCTTTTGTACGGAAACGGTCCGGGATTCGCGACGCCGAGGATCGTGCCTATGAACACGACTTCCGCAATGGAAGACAAGAACCAGGTGCACGGGTCGGCGGTGCCAAGACAATGGGGCACGCACGCCGGCGAGGACGTGCCCGTTTACGCTCTGGGTCCGCTAGCCACGACTCTATTTGCAGGTAAACTGTTTGCATATTCATTTAGGTTTGTAATGTATATTTCACAGTTATATATTTCCAATTATGTTTTCATTTATAACGTCATCTCGAACGTCAATATTGACTCCTGATCAGCACAAGATGTACGATTCGATACACCGAGATCTACCTTTCTTGCTTTGAGGATTATAAAGCCAAACTTTGTCATACGCCTGGAAACCTGTAGAGTTCGCCTTAAGCTTATACCTTGTTTTCATTCTATCACTCGCGAACTGTGTCCTTTCTCTAACTGGATGTCAATTGTCAAGCAGCCTTCATCGCAGATCGTCAGCATAGTCTTCGGCTTCCATATCGGCGACATCTGGTCACCCGAACACCAAGTCACAGGGTAAACCAAACTTCCTTCCAAACAAAACTATGGCTGGTGGAATTCCTGTTGTGTTATGTTTGGCTGACCGGTATACTATCAGAAATAGAGGTACATGCTCATCCCAATCGTCCTGATGCTTCTCAACTACTTTGGAGAAATGTTCCTCGATCGTCTTGTTGCATCTCACAACCATGCCATCTGATTGTAGATGCAGTGGTTCTTTTGTCTCTTATATCTTGTTTTGGGTTCTTGCTATATATATCGCACATTGTAGGCACCATGTGTTGACATCCTGGTAATAGTTCACCCAATAGAATCTGTCATGGATCTTGTCCAAGGTCATGTTGCCTCCCAAGTGACTCCCGGATGTCCTATTATGAACTTCTTCTAAAACTCGAACAATTTTTGTCCTAGACATGACCAATTGCGTTTTGACGTTTCAGTAAACCATTCTGACTAGCAGGGAGTCTTATTGAGCCCACAGCGCCTTGAAAGTTAGGCTTCTAGGTGATATTTCTTGCAAGGTTGGTCTGGATTCCTTTGGATTCTAAAAGGGCTTAATGCCTCTCTGATCAGAAAGTTTATGCAACGGCGCTGCTACCTTAGCAAACCTTCTACAAATCGTCTGTAGTATGTATGTACAAAGCCCAAAGAAAGTGCTGAGTTCATGTTTGTCTCGTCAGCATGCATTCCTTCGGGTGAAACTAAGGGGACAAGAAAATTAACGCGCTGTTGGAACATTTCTTGTCATAACGGATACAAGTAAATACTTCTTGTAAGTCTCGTAGATGCTTATCGAACAATCAACAACACATTATTCAGGTGGACAAAACATATCTTCCACGTAGTTTCCATCAACTTCTCGAAAGTAGCGGGGGCGTTGCAGAATCCAAAAGGCATTACCTTGAATTGGTAAAGACCACCTACCTCCAGTGGAGCACGCTGCCTTCTAGTTGCTAGAATTACATGAAGATCAGCCTGAAGATGTCTTTGTTATCTTGGAATACGCATTCTTGAGCCCTGATGAGATTATTTTTGAAGCAGAAATTGTTCATAGAGATCAGCATGAAAATGCTACTTATATTTATATTATACTCAGAGATGTCTTAGTACAGAGCCCTGAAGAATTTATTTTTGAAGCATTCATGATGACCATGGAATTGCTAATTTTGTGACTGGAGAAACTGGTTCAAAATACATAATCTCTGACGCCACTGGAGTGAAACTTATTCAGAATTTTACTGACAAGCCAATGAATGCAACTTTTGGGACCTTACCTGAAAATGCCGCTTTTGTTCGCAGGATTGTTCGCTCTAGCACGCGCGGAGGTCCCTGGTGTGAAGATGCCAGGCTTGATAGGGACCTGACGCTAGAGACCGCCGTAGCAGAGCCAGGCTCCGAAGCTTTCCCTGTCTTGCCTGATGGAGTCTTCTTTCGGGGCCTTTCCCCCGGTCTTAGAGTCAGTTAACTAAACCGGTAAACGACCTCAAATGAGTCCCTTCCAGGTATACGTAGGACCCTTAGTCTACAGAAAGGGTTAAAGGTGCGCATGACCCTCCAGTCACTTTCTTAAGGACTCTCCAGGCCTCTGTGTTCAGCCTAGTATTTTAGCCTTCAATTAGGCCAAGCATCTTATTTGCAGGACTCTCAGCACTGTTGGGAAAGTGGCACAAAAGGATTTGTGGGCAAGGAATGAAGCCTGGTTTGATGGGACGCATACAAATCTGACCTGGAGTACAGTCTGCCGAACATCAGGAAGACAATAAGAGACACTGAAGACTTGGAGATGGTTGTGGATCAATTAAATGATGCAATCATCTCGGCCTTCAATGAAAACTGCTTACTTACAATAGGTTATTCGCCAGGAAAGTGCCCTGGTGGAACGAGAGCCTTGCCAAGTTGAGGAGAGAAAATGGAACAGAATTCAATAAAGCCATGAGAACCGGGCAAAATGAAACATACAGAACCACGTTGAAAAAGTTCAAGAAAGAGCTGAGGGGATCCTAGAGGAGGTAGTACTGTGAGGATATAAAAAGTACTCAAGAGTGTGCTAGACTACAAAGAACTCTGTCAAAGGGCCCGAAGACAACAATCAAATCACTCAAAAATAACCTTGGTGAATACACAAAGACGGAGGAAGAGACAGTTAGGAAATTCCTAAGAACCCACTTTCCCGGCTCAAAGATAGTTGATAAAACAGTGGACATGAAATGAGCCTAGACTTCGAAGAGCATTCAGGAACGACTGGCAGACCTGGAAGAAAGTACTCAACTATCAAAAAGTCAAATGGGCTATAAACACTTTTGACCCATATAAGTCAGTCAATAGCCATAATGTTATAGAACGGAACTGAACTTGCAAACAGGATACTATGTGACATTCTAAGAAGTAGCCTAGGCTTTGGCTATGTAACAAAGGCCTGGAGCCGCATTAGGGTATCGTTCATACCAAAACCTGCAAAAATAGGACATTAGTCTTACATCATTTGAGCTTAAGACACTGTAAAAACTTGTGGATAGGCACATTGGGGACGATGTTTTGGCAAACAGACCACTACACCCAGACCAATATACGTATCGGACAGGGATGTCAACAAATGTAGCGCTTCACCAGCTGGTCAGCATTGTGAAGACCGCACTGGCAAACAAAGAGGTGTTGCTGGGTTCTTTCTTGGATATAGAGGGAGCTTTTGACAACACTTCCTCCGATTCAATAACCGGATCTCTCAAGCACAAAAGAGTTGAGGACACCTGCTGTGTGTGTGGATCAACTCCATGCTAAGAGAAAGAATGGTAAGAACCACCATCGCAAAGGCTAGGGTGTACAGGGGATGCCCACAGGGTCGAATATTACCCCCACTCCTGTGGAATCTAGTGGCGGACAGCCTGCTTAAGGTGCTCACTGACGGAGGACACCGTGCTCTTGGATTTGCTGACGACATAGTCATCATCTCACGGGGCAAACTCAACTCTACAGTTAGGGAGCGAATGCAAGACGCTTTAGACCGAACAACAAGATGGGTGGATAGAGAAGGGCTGAACATTAGTCCCAACAAATCCACCAAAATACTAGACCTGGGACCTCTTAGATTAAGGGGTAAAAATATACAGATTTCGAATGAGGTCAAGTACTTGGGGGTAACACTGAAGTACTTGGGGGTAACACTGGACTCAAAACTTACCTGGAATCAACATCTGGAAAACACCACCAAAAAAGCGGCAACATAACCCATGATAGCCAGACGCTTGCATGGAAAATAACGTGGCTCAAGACCGGATATACTGTATTGGACATACAACATTATGGTCAAACCTATCTTGACATACGCCTCCCTGGTGTGGTGGCCCAAGACACTGCAGGGAAGTGTCATAGGCTAACTCAGCAAAGTGCAAAGACTGGCCTGCTCAGAAATAACAAGGTCAATGAGATCTACACCAACAACAGCCATGGAGACCGTCCTAGACCTCCCACCTCTACACATAGTGATACAGGGGGAGGCAAGGATGGGAGCGTACAGACTGCAGCCGACAACCGCCTCCAACAAAAGAATGGGAATCGTGAGGGGAGAAATTTTCAACATGAGGACCGACTACATGCCAAGACGATACTGCTTGAACAGACCATTCGAGGTAAGCTTCCCATGCAGTATTGAATGGGAACATGGCATACCGGAGACCAAAAAACAAGAACAGACCTGGTACACAAACGAGTCGAAGACCGCGTCTGGTAGCAGAGCAGGGGTATACTCCGCCAACTATAGCGATCACTATGCACTGGGAAGCAGAGGTATGCGCTATACTCCAATGCACAGCGGAGAATAACAGGAGAGCCACAGCCAACAGGCAGATCCTAATAATGTCTGATAGTCAAGCGGCACTAAGCCCTTTCGAGCCAGACAGTGCCATCAAGACTAGTATGGGAATGCTAGGAAGAACTAAAGGCCCTGGCAAACCAGAATAAGGTAAAACTTATCTGGGTGCCAGGACACAAAGGAATCAAAGGCAATAAAAAAGCTGATGAACTCGCAAAAAGAGGGTCAGAGACCAAATCTCCAGAACCGGCTTGTGACGGATCTAGCTATTGCCCCTTATTGTTCGACTGTTAGAGAAATTGTAACGGTCTTACTTGCTCAATCCAGTTCATACAGATAAATCCATAAGGCGAATATTTATCCATTTATCACTATTCGCACTGGCAGCTAGGGAATTTTAACTGAGATGAAAAGAAAACACAATGATATACAGGTACGTTGGAGCCTGTCGAGAGTAAGAGAGATAGAACCAAAAACAAGCGTATGAGAGAATTTTGCTCGTCGGAGGTGACTTGCAACAATTAGGGGTTAATTACATGAATTGTAATCAATAATATAGATCATGTCAGGCCTTGAGACACAGAGAGTAGTATTTTACTATAAATCTTGCGTACTAACGAGGGTTTTTGGGGGTTTTTGCCTCTGGAGAGCATTCAAAGGGCGCGAGGGTGCGAACTCTTCGCTTAATCTAATAGTTCTGACGCATGTGCGTCGACTAGCTCTGCCAGGGACCACGTCGCAAAAAAACTAGGGATGTTGTGTGGCGGCTGACCAATCACAGCCGCGAGGGGTTCACTGCCTTATAAGGTAATGAAGAAACCTGTAATTTTACCGGTTCAAAGTTTTTTTGTTGTCGGTTTTACAGGCATCTATTTTTAGAATATTATTTTTATGGAAAATAATAGAGAGGAAAATTATATTAAATTAGAAATAACAACATTTAACCTTGTTGTGGGTTATTTCCGCAACACGGCTTTAGGGATATCAAAACTTATGACCAGAAGCCACATCAAAGACTGGATTCGTAAAGAACATCAACGACACTGGAAAACTTCCAGGGAGAATCATGGAAAGGAATTCATCGACCAACCATGTAGTAAAAGGGCTGCAGAACTGCTACAGGAGTCGACTGAGAACCATAACTCTTGACTGGCCACACACCAGTAAAGGTCCACCTGAACAGGATGAACCTGTACGGCGGATACCTTAATTGCAGACTTTGCAATTAGGAACCCGAGACCTCCAGACACATCCTGGTGAACTGCGAGGCACTGAATCGCAGAAGATACAGCATTTTCGGGCAACCAAACGTAGACCCGGAAACAATAATGAAACACCACCCAATAAAAGACCTACACAATCTCTTACAAGGTATAAAAATACTGGAGTGGTTGAACCAAACCACGCAGGCTAAGTACAATAAGCCTTCTCAGGCTTCAGTGCTGCATGGAGACAATAAGTCGGACAGGCCTGGAACAAGGAAAAAAAAAGCCTGGTTTGAACCTTTTCTTTTTTTCAGCTTCACACTTTGAAATCCCATTGACAGGCTCATAACATCACACTCAATTATTTGTTTGCACAATTTTCTGAATCAATAAATATATTTTTTTTTTGTTCATAGGTACTTTCGATCAAAGTTACATCCCGCACGCTATCGCCTATTCGGCCTGTCTCGGCGAACACCGGCTCCGCTGTCAAGGTTTGGACAGCTACTTTCCAGCGCCAGTTCCGAACTGTTCCACCGTTCCGGAAGTGTCCGGAAATTCCGTGAACGGACAACCGGTTGCGGTTGCGTCGAGTGTCATGTCGGACGATAACGTGCATCGTGTAAAGTCAAATGGACGACAAGTGCAACCTCTTATAGAGTTTTTATTTGGGGTTTTAATATTTGCGGTTACTTGAGGTAGAAGGTTTAGTTGAGTTGGTAATCAGGGTGTTCAATGGGAGAAAAAAAAAATGTAATAGAGAATAATTTTGTAAATATTAATTGTTGAAGTGTATATAAGAAGTACGTGTGTATAGAGAAGAAAGACCAATAATTAAGTGCCGATTTAACAGTTTTGGACAGTTGCAAGTTGGCGCTTGTTTTGTAAATACTTTTCAATTGAAATCAGTGAGTTATGACGTGTTGATATTTCCAAATTTGTTTGCAAAGAGAAAAAAAGAACCTCACATCAGAATTGCCTCAAATTTGAGCCAATTCTGATGTGAAGTTTTTTTTTTCTCTTTGTAAATCAACCAATCAGAGCACAGAACTGACAGATTTCAAATGTCATTAATGAATCAAAAATGTCAAACTTTTGTCTTCAATCAGCTTTAATAATGAACTTTGTTTAAATTTAATAATATGGCGTCAATCAGCAGACATTGCAAGTTTTGGTAATTTATATTATTTTGTTATTTCTAACTGTTGGAATTTTATTTTATAGAATTTATCGTTGTAAATAAAATATAGTAATAAATAAATAAATTTGTTTGCGTTTTTGTTAAATTTATATAATATAAAAATATATTCAGCTCAATTGTAACAAATCCCCGATTAAACAGCTCGTTTAGGAATTTTAATATTTTTGAATGAAGCATTTACAGTAGATTATCGAACTATAAATATGATGTAGATGTTATATCTCTACCAAATTACGCTGTATATACCTACTACACAATTTGATATAACGCAATAAACTAGCACTTTACTAAATGATTTTAAATCCAATAAAGCGACCGTACGAAAACAAAACAATATCGACCCAATAAGGCTAATTCAATTATACGAAACCCAACAAAATCCCTACAATAATTGGCACAGTCTAATACAATTCCAGTTGTTCTAAGGTGTTGTATTCACTTAAGCTCGGTAAGTCCCTAAACTTAATTTCTTCCCACACAATCCTCATTTATATTCCAGATGATGACGAAATGACTTCGAAAAAAAACAAATCCGCCCTAAATCTCAAAGCGCCTCAAAACGAGGATACCAATAATTCTGAAACTTGTGAGCAAAGTTTTTCCGATTGGATAAGATCAGAAGAAGGAATAGAAAATTTGAAATTATTCGTCCTCGGCAACAGCCTTATCGGTTTTGTTCTGATGCTCTGGCCTCAAATTGAAAAAGTTTTCGACGCTGCTTATTACACTTACTTGGATTATTCCAGTAATAATACGGAATAGAGGGATGTTTCATTTACCGTTTCGTTCGTTGATTTTTTTGGTTATTATGCTTGTTTATACTTTTACAGCGCTGAAGTTTATCGATGAATACTTTGGTGGTAAATTTAAAGAGAATTTGAATAATGAATTAAAGTTGAAACAGACTCAAAATGATGATAATTTATGTTATAAGGATAGTGATTATTATAAAGAAAATGGACAAGCATTTTGTACTCATGCAGAAAAATAAATAATGTAATCTTTTATGATGTTTTAATAAATAATTGCATTTTGCACCTTCTTCACATTTTATTAGTTTCATCTAAAAAAAAATCACTTGATAAATCTAAGTCCACTTTAAAAGATTAAAAACCTCGTTGCAACAGCAACAAATTAACAAAATCCAATTCAACAAGTTTTTGAATCTATTAAAATAATTATGAATTTTCTGGAACATCTTTGACATGTTGGAACATTCGGAACAGTGTTTGTTACTGTCTGTTGAGTGCTGATGACTCTATTCAGACATGAAGTGATACCGCAAGGGGTAATTGAGTTTGTAGTGAGTACAACAATGGTTTGTTAGATGCTGATTTTATTGAAATAGTTACAGCTATTTATATTAAACTAATCATATTTATTACAATTATTATTTTTCTGCTTAGTCCGCATTTGCTAGAGGTTAACGACTGGCACTGGCGTGAACTTGGCAGCCAAAAGTTACAGCCTGACTCCCGAGTCTACCCGAACATCAGTGGCGCCGTTTATGTCTTATCTTTAATCTTTAAATATTATAAATTCCTTTTTTATAAATACGATAAAATGAATCCAGTTATTTAAGGTAGGTAAACAAGAATATATTGCAAATGGATCCAATACATGTTTTTGAAGGTAAACAAAGAATTAAAATATTTGAAATATTAATTTTTTCTACGACCATGCGATTTTGCCCACTTTCCCGCACTCATTTTAATTCAGAAAGTGTCACTTTCCCGCACTGAATAGGGAACTTGACAAAAAATTTAAATATGAAAATATTACTATAAATCATAAGAATATATCATGTTAAAGCATATATTGTAGCATTTTCAATTTCTTGTTTGATATGCTACTGTGTTTTGCTCTAGTAGATATGATTCTATATAGAACTACAATGAAATAAATGAATAAACAACTGTCTTTTCTGTGCCCAGATTTTGTTACCTTGATTACTGTCTTCTACTGAAAGTTTTTTTGTGCAGGTTTGCAAGTTTTGTTGATTGATCTAGAAAGGTTTGATTCAGTACGGCAGGGCCCGCTGTTATTGATTAGAATCTTAGGGAAAGGAGGTAGTACCATCATCATCTCTGTTTGCAAATCCAATCAATAATCTGAGGTTATGATAAATTGTTGTTTACTCTTTGATTTTTCATTTCCATCATGTCATTGAACAGCTGTCTTGTCTAGGCGTTTTCTTTAGACCTGTTCTACTTTTTGATATATGTTCTATAGGCATTTTTCAATATTCACCAGTCATTTTTATACAACCAAACTTTCAGTTCGTATTCTTGGAGTGAAATTGAACACGCTTTTTTCTATAATTTTCTTCAATGTCAAAATTAGAAGTTTGACAAGTGAAAGCCTTCTTCCGAAATCTAAAGGAAGAATCAGCCCTTTTGATCTTGAGACTTGATACCGAAAGGTTGGTCTCGGCCTATTTGATTTTGGGCGAGACTTTTTGGAATTTTGTGCCAGGGAACTCAAGGTTTAGACTAATTTCTTATTGATAATTGTCTGGAGTCGTCCCTTGGTCATTTTGGATTTTGTTTCGGTAAGTTTGAGATTTTCTTCAGGATTATTAACCTACAACACGTGTTTCGTTTCTTCAATAGGACTGTTCCGAGCAGCTTTTGGGAGTTTAAGACTTCACCTTTGGTCTAGAGGATCCCTCAATTTGAGGTAAGATTATTTCTAATTTTTGGGGCTCGATTTGTTTTTTTATACGAACATCGTTATAGGGTCCTACTCCTAGTCCTAGTGCTAGGCTATAGCTAGACAGTCTTAGGCTATAGTTGGACAGTTCCTAGAAAGAGATTCTAGATTAGATCTAGATTGCTCTTAGTTGGCTTTGGTAGCCTCCCCTCAACAACCCTCTTGGTACCGCTCTGCTAGAACCACATTGAGTTCTACGTAAAACAGATACCACGTGGATAGGACTCATGACTATGACTCACTTACCATACCATAGTCTATCTACAGTGAGACCGAACCTGTAGATAATATCCCTTCAAAACTTCTGGATTTATACACACCTTTGAAGATAATCAACACTTGTACACATGTAAGTTGCACTTTTTACTATTTAGGCAAATCTTATATGAATCACTTGATACTGATTTACGTTCGGTAAGTGCCCCTTAAATAAAATTCTAGAATTTTACCCTGAGGTTGCCCTAACAATAATTTTCACCTTTCTGGTGTTGAATTTGCCTCTTGGTAGAGTGTAACTGATATTGTGGTTCTAATCTTTCATAAGTGTAAACAGACAGTTAAAACTGTTTATTTAAAAATCAATATTTTTATACATTATTTACATTCTTATTTTTTTTTCATAATCAAATATTTATAAATTGGTACAAGCATTATTCTAAACACATTTACAATAACCTCCTGGCTATCCCTATATTTTGTTATTATTTTTAATAAAGAAGCCAGATACATTATTGTACCTAATTAGTTGTTTTATTGATAAGCGCTCCAATTGCACAGGTTTTGTTTATAACATCATTAAGTTATCTTCCTAGTTATGTCACAATTAACTTGGTGGCGCCCAAAGGTAAGCTGTATACAAGAAACCCATAAGCCCATGGCCTCCGAACTGAAGCTGACTAGCCGTAGCAGTATAATTAGGCAATTGCCAAAATATGTACGTTATAATATCAGCGAAAAAGCAAATTATTTTGTCGCAAACGGCCGCAATAAGGAATTAGAAATGCAGAAATATTCAAATTATTTCCGGCGGGAAAAAACGCGCTGGTATTGGTCGTGACGTCATCTAGTATGATTTGTCATGGCGATTTCCATTTGTCAATCAGTGCGCACTGAGTGTATTCGCATCATTTTCTAAAAGCGTGTAAGCTATAAGGATAAAGATACATTAAATTTGCACTCATTCTGCAAATAGAAATCGCTATCAGTGTCTGTCAGCGGACGGTTGCTGATCATACCGTGAGTTCGTCTTGAAATACTGAGTGCTCGGAGCATTTTCCGTCTTTTTTCCTTATGATGAGAAGAACAGAGATAAATAAATAAAACAGCAGCTTCGAGTGTTTACTCGAATTCTACATAATACCTAAATACCCGTTAGCTGTGTTTATCCACGTTTTTCTCTAATTTTTTAAAATTTTATCATTTATAAGAATTGGTTTACTTAGCTTAAATTTAATGATTAGCTCAGCATTATATAAATGAAACGATAAACCTATTAATTATGACCGAAGAAAGAAATTCCGAAGGCCAATCCGACAATCTGTAATTTGTGATATGTTTATGGTAGCAAAAGTAAGTATGTGCAAATATTTTTTTCCATTATAACTTCAAAATTCACAACTCGCCGCAACACGAAACAACAACAAAACAAATAAATAACGGTGGAAAATGTGGAAATCAACCAAATTAAATACAATGAACTATAACATTTGGCAACAAGGTGACGCAAAATCATACTACATGACGTCATCCAGATTCGCGCGCATTTATGATCGTTTGAAATGCTATTAATACGCGCGAAACTTTAAACATTTTTCACCAAGTTATTATTGAGTTTTAGGGAATAATATTTGGGGAATACTCTTTCAAGGCCTAAATAAATAATTTAAAAAAATTAAAAAAAAATTGTAAAGTTCCCTATTCGTACAGATTTTTTAATGTTAATGTCAGTGTGTGTCAAACTTTTGTCAACTTGTCACATTATTTTAAATTTTGTAATTACTTTTACTCAATAAATGTCTTAATTAGTACATCCTGCACATTCGTTTTATTGGCAATTTAGACACTCAGAAGATAGTTCAATAGAAGAAACACTATATAGAACGTAGAAGATAATCCCAATCCCCATTACAACTTTATACATAGCAGCATTCTGCCAATTGACGCAAAATATCCATCGTCAAGAAGTGCTTCGCAAATTGCAGAAGACACCAGAGCTGAGATCAGAAACCTCGTCTCCAGTGACTTCACCTGTAACCGATGGCGTCAAACACTCATTCCAGCAGTGGTATTATTACCAGTTTATTGAAGAATCAGTACATATGTACATAACTGTCATTGGCGATTAATTTACAAAATGCATCCAATTGCTCTTTCACAATCAATATCTATGATAATGAATAAATGTGGATTATTTAAATGTGTGCAATATATGTGTGAAGAAAAACCGCATATTTTCTTTGTGCTCTATTTTGCTACGGTCGTAGAAAAAATTTTGATCCTAACTCATGCATAAAGTATCTTTCCCGATCTTAACTGCTTGCCCGAACTCCGCTACACGTCGTTCGGCAGTCGCATCGCATGCGGGAAAGTATAACTTTCTGCACTTGTTAGGATAATAACTATTTCACCAACGGACGGGACTTTCCACATTTTTCTCAACCAGGTGAAGTCAAAAAAGCTTTTACACACGATGAGCTCATTATGAGGCACCTCACTTGAGTTGCAACTGGGTCCAAGGGTGGTTTTTGGGAGTGAAACAAGAAAATTGAAAAACTGGAAATATCTAATTTCTCATATACCGGGTGCCCACGAGATTACTTTCCGGCTGCCATTTTTTTATTTATTTATCGATATCAACGAAACTTGGCAGAGTTGATATTCTAACCCGTTTTATGACAAGTTTTCCCGACTTCCAGTTTTACCGGAAATGACAGCAACTTTTGATTTTTAAATGGCACACCCTGTATATTTTTTGTTTTTCGGATTCTACAGATCGTTTTACATCCTAATGCACCACTTTTGAATCGATTTTCGTCCAAATTTTATTTTTAAATTAAATTTAATTTTTTTAACCAGAGTGCCATGATCATCCTAAAATGACTCTACATACTTTACTCAATTTCAGAAAAATACAAACTCAATTTTATCTTTGTAAAGTTTTTTGATAGAGGGCTGTAAACTCCATTATTTCAGTATTTTTGCCCTAACTCAAAAAGTAGAATAGTATATTATGCAATAATCACTGGCGGCTCGTCAGAGGAGGCAGGGGAGGCTAAGCCTCCCCCAAAAAATTTAAAATTCAATCTCAATTTTTTATCCCTAATTCCTGATTGAAATAATAATTCACAAATTACACTTTCCAAATTTTGACATTTTCATGTAATTAAGAACGATCTGACAACTTTATTTCAAACAATTCCGCGCCTACACGACAAAAATTTGTGAATCTGTCCCTTTCCTGCAATTATTCTAAGGATAGAAATCGACCGGAGGCTAGACTCCCACAAGTCTCACATGCTTCACTGAAATCTAGCATTCAAATGGACCGCGAATCTCAGCGTCCAATAGAAATGCCGGAATATCGAACCACTACTGGCGTTCAGCGACCATCGTCTCGAGAGGCGGCTAGCCGCACGGTTGAAAACAACTGCAATATCCTTGCTTTTTTTAACTCTGTTTTATGCAATAGTGTTCCAGGTCACTTTTCTAGTTGGAAGTTGTAGATTTATAGTTGATTGCAATTTTTTTGCATCAGGTTTGTACGCAATATTTCAATTATTATCTGTTTGGGGAAATAATATAAATTTAGCTTGACAACATCGCAAACGCGTTAAGCGCTTCCTATCAAGAATTGTTTAGAGTAGTACCAATTTGTCTTCTTTACGAGAAAATCGACATTTTCGGTATTCACAAAATAAGTAATTTTTTTATACCAGAGAGACTGAATCGGGTGTTAATGTAAGCGAGACACAAAACGCACATGCGGTTGTCAAGTACTTTTCGTTGGATAAACAAATTCACGCTAGTGGTTGTTGCTCTATCCGGTCTAATCCCATGATTCTTCCTTCCCTTACCTAATTCCCCATTCGGTAGGTAAGTTAAAATAGAATCCACTACTTTACTGAGTTACGCGGAAACAAGGTGCATTGAAAATTATTGTACAATTGTGCATCTTGTTGCAGCAAGTACATAATTATTATAGTACATCATGATTATCAATTTGTGCCTTCCTTGTATTTTTTATTTTTCGTCAAAATTAGCTCTGAAAATATATACTTATATAAAGAAAAAGAACATTTTCCTAAATATTCATGATTTTTATTGAACTTGAGATAAGGGCGTGGGCATCCTAAAACAAATTTTGCCTGCTGCGCAGTGGTTACCTTTCCGTTTTTCATGTTTTTTTAGCCTCCTCACTTGAAATAGTCAGGAGCCGCCACTGGCAATAATCATGTAATGATAGCCATTAATACACGAGCATGTTGTAGGATACGAAACGAGCCGCAGGCGAGTTTCGTATATAACATGCGACTGTATTAATGGCCATTACATGAGAGTTGCATACACTATTTTTTCTACTGCCATTGATAAAACTTATGATATTTAGATATGTCAACATTATATTATGCTTAACTTTGAATAGAGATTTCATAATTGAGTACCGGTAATCCATACAGTTGAAGGTTTCATTTTTTGTTGTAATTCTTCAAAATATACTATCAAAACATTTTCTGAGAAGGATGATGTGTTTTTGGTGTTTCCAATCCATAAATTGTCCATATAATTCTTTGTAAATTTTAATTTTCTTGTTTTACCCCCTAAAACCACCCTTGGGCCCATTTGCAAGTGGAGAAAGATGCATTGAAATGTGCCTATGGTACCTAGGCACAGTTTCTAATACATTTGGTTGTGAAGAAAATGTCGCAAGAAACGTAATTCTTGGAAAATTTGATATTTCCAGTTTTTCAATTTTCTTGTTTAACTCCCAAAAACCACCCTTGGACTCATTTGCAACTCCCCATAATGAGTTCATTGTGTAAAAGCATTTTTGACTTCACCTGGTTGAGAAAAATATGTGGAAAGTCCCGTCCGTAAGTTGGTGAAAAATTAATATTCCATATATTTTAATTCTTTTTTTACCTTCAAAAACATGTATTGGATCCATTTGCAATATTTTCTTGTTTACCTTTAATAACTGGATTAATTTTATCGTATTTATAAAAAAAAGGAATGTATAATATCTAAAAATAAGACATAAACGACGCCACTGACTGTTCGGGTAGACTCGGGAGTCAGGCTGCTAACTTTTGGCTGCCAAGTTCACGCCAGGAGGACTGGCCTGGTTTTGTAATGCCGATGCTGCTAATTCAACAGATTCCATCACGTAGGAAAATCGTAACTTGGATTATATTGAATATTCTCAAAAAAAAAAAGGATTTTTATGTCTAATCATATTATTGATTAGACAGTTAGTTTTAAACATATTAAAATATTGTGGTTAAGTAAAAACTCGTTGGAACTGCAAAAAAATCTCGTTACAACCAGTTTTATTTTATCTACAAGCGTTTGGTTATGACGTTTTTACATAACCATTTTTCTAGTAATTGCGTTATGTTATGAAACTCATAACACAACTAGTGGTGTTATAGACTAGGTTATGAATTCATACCACAACTAGTGGTGTTATGGACGAGGTTATGAATCTATAACACAACTATTTTTGGTGATTTGACAAATGTCAAACTTAAACCTGTAAAGGTAAAATGAAGGTAGACAACTATTAATAAACGAAATTAATTGAAAAAATATTCCTATTTTTCGCTTTGTAGATAAAACGTTGTACATCACACATGCGTTTAAACATGACTACAAAACTTGTAATGTAAATAACTATTTAAATATCTTTATCTACAAGCGTTTGGTTATGACGTTTTAACATAACTATTTTTCTAGTATTTGAGTTATATCATGAGGCTCATAACACAACTAGTTGTGTTATGGACTAGGTTATGAATTCATAACACAACTAGTGGTTTTATGGACAAGGTTATGAATTCATAACAAATGTTTTGACAAATGTCAAAGGTAAACCTGTAAAGGTAAAATGAAGGTATACAACGACTAATAAACCAAAATGATTGAAAAAAAAATCTTATTTTTCGCTTTGTGGATAAAAAGTTGTACATCACACGTGCGTTTAAACACCAGTTTTTCGTATACTCTCCACACAAAAAGTCGCAAAAAAGTTCATCTTTCAGCGCTCATATCTCAAAGACCGTAATACCTACAAGACTTCGTCCCATTTAAAGGTTGTTAAGAATTTAATCCTCTACAACATATCAAAAAATGGGCAAAATCGATAGAGCCCAAAAATCCCATGAAAGGTGTGCGTTATCCTTTGCTTTTTTTTTGACATTGCTTCGAAAATTTGACGTTTGATACACGCATAAAACGTCCAATTTTCGAAGCAATGTCAAAAAAAGAGCGAATTTCGCGCAAAAAAAGCGAATTTTGCGCAAGTGAGATGAGGCATAATTCGGAAGAACTGTCAAAAATGTATTACCAATCTTAAAATAACTAAAGGTTTCTTAACTGTACACCGTATAAGTTTTTTGGAACAATTTAACTACAAAAGCTTTAGTTAACTAATAGGTGTAAGTTAACCAACCGCTACAGGTTACTATATATTGTGAAACTGAGCCTTAAGGGGGTAAGCCATACAAAATAATTGGGGGTTTAAATTGATCAGAAGTCCTCCTGTCACTTTCGGCCTGGAGAACTTACTTTCGGCCTGCTAAATTGTTCTTTCGCACCTAAACACAAATCCAGGTGCAATGCTTGTATTCAGAAGTAGATGTGACTTGTGTTTGTATTGTTGAAATTCCATAAGATGTCAATGTCGCTGTTAGAGTGTCAGTCGAAATTCCATTTTTGTCATACTTTTACCTTATTTTTTTTCAATAATTGATGGTTCAAAATAAAATAGTATACATATTTCGGTGGAAAGTTTTCACATATGTATATTGTCTCAAGAATTGGTTGACCTCGGCGCTTCGCACCTCGGTCAACCATAGTATCTTTCGACAATAATGAAACACTTCCCACCTCCACATGTAATATACTATTATTTTCAATGGATACAAATCACAATGACAATTCTCCTGACAAAAACTGGTAAGAACAGAATTAAGAGGTATTTACCTGATTAGGTGAATCGATAACACACCTATGAATCAATTAATAAAAGATACTAAATTTTAATAAAAAATTATAGAGAAAAGATAACAACTACATTAAACCGTAAATCAATATTGAGAAATTCTGAATAGAGACTCTAAAAGACAACGAAATGCTTCATCAAATCCTAAAATAAAAATCTCTCGATAAACACTAATTTTATCTTCAAAAGCCTTAAATAACGGAAAAGAACAATACAATTATTCTTACAGATAAGGCTATTTTCCTAGTCAAATTAATCCTAGTTTAAGTACAAAGAATTATTGATTATGTATAAGAAGATTTGATTTTTTGCCCATTTTATAAGTTTTTGAAGTTAAGAACTTCCGTAATTTGTACCTTTATTTATTTATTTATTTATTTATTATGTTTGATTTAATAGCTAATTCCTCAAGTTTTTCATTTATATTATTGCGCAATAACAAATTGGCAAATTAATTCAATCTAAACTAATATTGTTTTTATCAAAAAATATCAATCTCGAGAGCTAATCTGCGATAGGATTATTAATATTGATGAATCGAACAATTTTCGATGATTACAGGTTTTTGTTTTAAATTATTCGAAATATTTGCGTTATTTGGTTGAACGAAAAAGTGATGAGAATAATTTTTGGATATAAAAAATGTGTATATTACCAAGTATATTTATCTGCCATTTTCTTTTATCAATAGGTAAGAATTTTGTACTTATTACTTAAACAAAAAAAAAATATAGTTTTTTTATTGGAGCTTGTGGATATGTGATTGAACAAGGACCCACTGATTTAATACTCAATTGGAATAATTCAACAAGAGATAAATATGTTGTAGACTTGAAAGAAAACAATCATATCGATGGATCTGATTATCTGTTACTTTTTACCATTAAAGAAGGTGAGTGACCAATTTTCATATTTATAATTGCTCATTCCACTTCGATTATTAGTTTCCGCCGAGCCACAATTTCGACCAGGTCCAGCATCATTCCAATACGAAATGGTACCAAAAGGAAACTCAACATATGAGTTTTACATTACACAGTTCATGGACTACGAAACTGAAACTTCGCACACTTACTTATTGACTAGCGTCGTTGATGGAACACAAGCCGTTACAATCACGATACATATTATCAATTACGACGATGAGAATCCTACTTTGACTGCGCCAATGTGTACAATGGAGGTGAATTATTTTATTTTTTTAATAATATATAATAATTTATTTCTTACATTGACACCAGGAAAACACTGATTATTCGGATGCAAACACTGAATGTACAGCAACATTGTCAGATCCCGATGGTTGGTTGAGCCAAACCACATTTACTATTATCAATAGTAATCCTAGTGCGGAAAAGCCACTTGTATTATACTTATAATATTATTCAAATTCTTGTTTAATTTTTTTTATATTATAGGAAAGAGAAGATGAAATATTTGAATTCAACTTCAATCAAAGCATTAGCGACACAACTTATAGTACAACTGTTTATTTGACTACAACTATGCAACTGGATTATGAAACTAAAATATTTTATTCGTTTGTGGTGCAAGCAAAGGTAAGAGAATACCTACTAAAATTGTATATTAAAATTTGTTTGAAACAGGATGGTGCTCTACATCCAACGGTACCTAAGGAAGATGTTACATGTATTGTTAACGTTAAAGACTTGAATGATATGCCGCCTCAGTGGACTGATTATTTTACTACTGGAGAAATTGACGAAGAGGTCTCTTATGTAAGTATCATATTATACTGATTAGAAAATTTTGGATTAATTTTCTTTGCTTTTCCATCTATAGACGCGTTTCGACCTATATCAGGTCTCATCAGTATGGCTAGGAAAAGCAAAGAAAACCAATCCAATTTTTGTGCATCTATGCAAAATACAAGTAGTAAGACGGTCGAAATTTGATCGTGGCGCCATCTAAGACAAGGATTCAACACTAAACAGCAATTTTTGCTGTATTAGTGATGCCATCTAATTGGCCGACCAAAAATCAGTTCGTTGGGAAAACCCAAAATAGGAAAAAAAGATTTCTCCTTATAATATACTGATTAGAAAAATTTGGATTAATTTTCTTTGCTTTTCCATCCATTGACGCGTTTCGACCTATATCAGGTCTCATCAGTATGGCTAGGAAAAGCAAAGAAAACCAATCCAATTTTTGTGCATCTATGCAAAATACAAGTAGTAAGACGGTCGAAATTTGATCGTGGCGCCATCTAAGACAAGGATTCCTAGCCATACCTGATATAGGTCGAAACGCGTCTATGGATGGAAAAGCAAAGAAAATTAATTCAAAATTTTCTAATCAGTGTATAATAAGGAGAAATCTTTTTTCCCTATTTTGGGTTTTCCCAACGAACTGATTTTTGGTCGGCCAATTAGATGGCATCACTAATACAGCAAATATTGCTGTTTAGTGTTGAATCCTTGTCTTAGATGGCGCCACGATCAAATTTCGACTGTCTTATCATATTATATGTATGTAGTATATAAAACTGTTATGTGAAAAACACAAGCTTTTCAAATTGCTCAGTATTCCTTATCGAGATATTCAGTCTGGTACCAACAGAGTTTGGATATAGAATATATTTTGTGGTTTCTGTTTCACTAAGGGAAGACTATACCTATGGATGTTGATATCTGAAATCCCGCATATTGAGTTATCAGTTTGTGTATTTTCTGATCTTTCATCTACATCCTCATTTTGTCTAAAGAGACTCTCAAAATACATTACTTTTTGTTTTTTATTCGAGACGAGATTCTTGGGATGCTCTGATCCTGTCAGATACTTTAAGACCTCTACATCCTGGATCGTTCTATTGTTAATGTTTGGCTCCTAGGATCCCAAAGACCTCTCAGATTGTAATTATATTTTTGAAAATATTTTATTCTTCTTTGAAAGTCAATACAGAGAATCTCCAAATTTTGAATCGTTTTGTGCAAATGTTCTACTTTAAGAAGGCTTTTAGGATCCTGAATATTGCAAACTTTAAAAATTCATCGGTCTTTCCTTGATAAAACTCTAGAAGATCCTGAACTTATATTATTATTAAATATATTGTCATTACCATTGATTTGCAAAATTCTTGGTTCTTTTAAGAAGAGATTCTTGGTTTCCCGAGATATAGAATCGATAATATTGCAAATGTTTGGTTGACGCTGTGAATTGCAAAAATTTCTTGGTGATCCTGAATTCTGAGTCCTTACTTTGCAAATTTCCTGATTCATCTTCATAAAAACTCTTTTAAGATCTTGAACATTTGGGTTAATAATTTGCAAAGTTGTTACGTTCAAATTTTGCCTTAATACGTAACCTCGTACGTAACTGAAGATTTCGAATGAATTCGGTAAATTAATTCAGGTATTTGTGAGGGTATTTAGAAAGCTTATTACCTGAGGATTAATATTTTTCAATGATTGATAGGTTTCTCAATGGATTTTACTAGATTCCTACCTCTTTGATTGGATGCGAAACAATATCTAGTTGTTGAACAAGGGTATATTTTTCGAGGTAATAATGAGTAAATTCTTTGTATTCAGATGACAAGTTAGTTTTAGGATAATAAAGCCCTACTGTTAGGATCGAAACCTATTTTATTTAGCTTACGAAAGTTGTCTAAAAGGCCGTAAATATCGATGAAAAGGTTTGTTTACTTCCAAATAAATATCAATTGGCAACACTTACGAGTCAAGTATTTTCCACTAATAAAAATTTTGCAACATCACACATCACTTTCACAGCCTTTAAATCGCTTTTTCCGATTTTATTTAGATTTTCCCGGCTATTTACTTTCGCCGAATAAGTTTGGTTAAGTGACACTTGTTGTTTCGTTTCAGGCAGCGCTGTTGCCGAGGTCTCTTGACCACTATGGGTAATAGAGTCACTGTAGTTGTGACCACTGAACGACTGGTCATTTTGATAGTTTTTGCACTAAAGACTGGGTAGATGCTGATTAATAAGTAATAATTAGTGTTAATTAGTGTTGGGGTAGAAAATTGGATAACAACTTTGGGTTTCGTTTGTCATCAATGTGATTTGGGTTGTTCCGTTTCAAGCTGATTGTCTCGTTTTCCGGGTCAAGACCGGAAATCTGGCACCGGAAGGCATCTTGGAAAAAAAAATAGAATTCTGGGGAATTTTTCATAGGAGCTCACCTAATGGATGGCTGAAAATAAGGTCGTTCTTTTAAATTCGCACATTGAGCAAACAACAAGTGGCAGATTTTACCAGCGGTCGTCTTTGCTAAGTTCCTTGGAACATCCACCTTTTGTTGGATTTTTGAGGCGTTGGAAACTCGAGTGGTTGCTGGCTTAATTATTGGTTTTGGGGTGAAACTTGGTTTTGGTCGTAAGTGCCCGTATTTGTAAGCCAACCACTTGAATTTTCTGTAGACAAAGGTCTACGCCATTTTGTTGAATTATCGATGCGAGAAGAGAGCACGTTTTGTTCAACTAGCCCAATTTGTAACCAGGTAAATTTAAACGTTTTTATCAATCTGAATTTACCTTTTTCGTTATCAATATTTAGATTAGCATATCAGTAATTTTGTAAATATTTGGGATTCTATAAAAAAAAAAGACAATTTGACCTCCACGAGGGCTATTTTTCAGTAAAAAAAAAAACTCATTAGTGGTTGTCAAAAGGGGCATTAATGGGCTAATTAATTAAGGGGAATTGTTTTCAAAAGGAAACTCACGGGTTTCAGGAGATTTTCCTATATTAATTTTACAAAGGATGTATTAATATGTATTATAAGTATGAAGGAGTATTTATACTCTTTTAGGGTTTTAGATTTTAGGTTTTACATTTTACCTTACCATTGGGTTCTTCCCTTTCGACGGTTTGCTATTCTCAAAGTTAAGGTGTCAGAGTACCCAAAATACTGACTTGAAACCGAAACTCACCGTTTTTAAGAAGGAAAATCAATAGAAGTTGATGGAGTCTATTATTAGGGCTGTGAGGCTGTCCTGAGACAGCAATGGAAATTGATAATTGATGTTTAAACTGCAGGGAGGACTACAAAGGAGTGATGTACCCGTAAATTTATTAACGTTTCTTAATTATTATTTTTAATTATTATTATTGGTATTTGTTATATTTAATTTGGTACATTTTCAATGGGTGTACTACACCAATGATTTTTAATTGACTATATTTAAAGTGAAATTTTTGTACAAACCCGCCCCGGTATAACATGGTATAAACGTGCACAGGTTTTAATTAATATTATTAATCTTTTCATTCCTTAATTGTTCTCTTGCACTCTCATTGGAGTAAGATGGTCAAACATTTATTGATAATTCTTGAATTTATTAGAGTATCTTATGAGACCATTACAAATTGGTCCTTGCTACCTTTTGGTAATTTTGACATTTACATTTACATTTAATAATAATATATACTTTAGCAAAACGCTCCAAGTACTTTATGTAATTAGTTAAATGGTAAATGGCGAGCGGTATATTGATGGTGTTTATTTACTTGAAGCTGCTACCTAAATCTGTGGAAGGGTCTATTTGCAAGAGAGAGAAACAAACTATTGAGGTGTACTAAATTATATTTTATTATACATAAAACCAAAATTTTTAATCAGCCAAATATCTTCCAATTCTGACAGTCTCATCTATTTCTATAAATTCAATTACTTCTCTATAAAATCAATTACTTCACATCCGTTCTAAAATTGTTATTATTACGGACCACTGAAATATCCCTACTAATAAAGAAATGCCTTATTCCTACTATTCCTAATAACTTATAAGTTAACTCATTTCAACACTTCCGATTCATTCCTATCAACTACCCTTCACCTATTTATATAAATTCTTTAAAATTTCTAAGTCCTTTACTGACTGCTTATGAAAACCCAAAATAATTACCTATTTGTTTATCAACATAACTTATTCTTATAAAACCTTACAATAATTTCTACTTGAAAAATAAAAATCCTAATTCAAAATTCATTTCATGAACAACAATTTTCCAATATTTTGAGACAATTCTATTTCATGAACATCAAGTTTTTTTTTTTCAAAATTCACTCAAAATTGTATATTGTTAAATGCATTATAAGTACCCTTCATATTTTCTTTGCACAATTAAATTAGAATGTCATTATATCTGAAGGCAATTAAAGTTATGCAATAATGTTCTATTGATATTTCACTTTATAGTCATGCATCTTTTATAAAGTCAAAAGTTTTACTAGGAAAATCACTCAAGTTTTTGGCATTGAAAGTCATCTGTTAATTTCACTTCTTATCATTCAGAATCATGGATAAAAGTCAGAAAGTTTTACTAGTCAAAATCACTCAAGTTTTAGGTATTGAAATTCAAAGTTTAATCACACAAAGTCATGTTCATCATTTATATTCAAAATAAATCTTGGCACTATAGAGTACTTACATTTTGTCCATAAAACACAAAAATAATCTAATTTATTTCTTTTGATTACTTAGAGCCCGCACATAATTGTTGACGAATTCAATTGTTTTTTCTTTCAAAATTTTTCCGCTACTTTTTCAAAGACTGTTACCGAGGCAATACAAGAAACTTTCCTGACTGACACTTTAGGTACTGTAGGTTTTAACTCAAACTGGACAGGACTGCGAACTCATCTCTCAACTGACAACTTCTTCTAAAACCGCGGTATTTATATTAAATCGATCCCCCCGCAAAGTATTATTAATTATCTCGCAGAATCGTCAATTGACGGTCGTTTGACGATCAATCAAACAATCCCATTGGCGGACCTAAATACTAAATATTATTAAAAATAATGATGCAATTTCCTTGAAATTTTTATCATTTTAAGTTAGAAAAAAAATCGACTAATTATGTCGCAATATACTGATTTATCGGGGTCGAATCTTTTAGGTTCAAGAATGCCATAAATCATCAATTTAATTACTTGGCCTCGCTCGTTTAAGTTCATTGATTTAGGAGATGACACGGGCTTGATGACGAAACACCTAATATAATATTAAACGTTAATTTGTTCCCTTTTCAATTTATTGATACTGATTTGGAGATACCGGAAATTCTGTTTTTGATTATTTGACATTTATTAAATTTTTACAAAGACATTGTGATTTATGGGTCTATTTTCTCGGAATATTACAGTATTTTATATAGTATATTGCCTTCTATTGGTCTTCGTAAAGCAATTTCAGGTCTAAGCATACCCCCCCAAAACATATTGAATAGTTTTATACTTTATACATTTGACTCTTATTTTACCCCTACTGACCTCAACTAAACTAAGGTAAAGTTGTTTTTAGAGCATATGTACATCGGGTAGGTACATTTTTATAGGAATTTTGGAGATCAGGGAGTTTCTGGTTTAAGTCCGCGGATTTTATTTTGTAAACCAGTGGCGCCCTATAAAGCTAATTTTCAATTTTTGAACCTACTCTCACACCACTGAGTAGCCGCGAGCACTTTGATGCGCTGGCCGCTTTCTATAAGGGTGTCTTACTGTACCTAGGCCTATTAGAATTTATTTATTCAAATTTATTATTCAAACAGTTTAAGGGTTAAATTTTTGCGCAACAAAGTTTCTTGTTGTTCTAAGAAGAAATTATTGGAGTCTTAGGATCCTGGATCGTTCTATTGCAAATATTCTGTTTTTCTTTGAGAATCCTGATCCTGAACCTTTAGTTATTGTTCTGCAAACCTCTGGCTTCCTTTACGAGAAGAATGATAACTCTTAGGATCTTAAAATCCTGACAGATTCTTAGGATAAGTTTATTGCAAAAGTTCTGATTTCTCTGAAAAGGTACCATTGATTTTAAAATTCTGAACATTACAGAACTTTGTTATTTGATCCTGAACTCTTGAGTTATTAATCATAGCAAATATAAGACTATCAGGATCCTGATTCTTGATTCATTGCAAACCTCCTGTTTGTTCCATCCATAATCCATATGATTCTAAATTCCGCAAACTTTCTTGGTAATATTATGGAAAACATTATTGAACTGAATTCTTATTTATAAAGATTCTCCCAGAAGATAGATACTCTAAAATGATTAAAACTTTAATATTTTATTGTAGAGGTACGAAATGACAGCTGTAGATGGCGATAAAGGAATCAACGCAAACATCACTTACCATTTAGTATCTTACGATGAAGGTATATGTACGGATTCCTGCATTACCATTACCACAGAAAACAAAAAGGCAATCATAAAAGTGAATCCGATCGACAGAGATGCAAAAGACATATCAACGTATAAATTTAAAGTGATGGCAATTGAAGATGACGAGCCTCCTTATAATGACAATATCACCATAACGTTTTTCGTTAATGATATTGATGATAATAGTCCATTGATGATAAATGTTTCATCCATCAATGAGACTACAATTGATTTAGTTGATGAAGATCCAAAAATTGTAGATTTTACTTTTTACGAAAATTTCGCTGGAACTATTAACGGCCATATTTTTATTCAAGATATTGATACAGTAAGAAACTGTTTTTTGAATATTGTTTTATTGAATTTTGGATTTTTAGGGTGAAAATGCTCAATTTACAGTAGCTTTAGTTGAAGACGAGTCACAAGAACGGAAAGCAAATTATACTGACGCATTTTTGATTGTTCCAACTGCAGGTTATCGTAAAGGAGAGTTTCAAATAACCGTTAAAAATGCCAAATATCTTGACTATGAAGACGAAATTTGGAGAGACTTTACATTTTATGTACGTTATTGGATTTAGTAACAAAAATATTCATTCTTATTTTTTTCAGGTGCAATCAACAGGCAACAAAAATCAGACCAAACAAGATAATTTACTAGTACAAATTGATTTGGTCGATTACAACGACGAATTGCCAATTTTTAAGAATCCTAGTTACACTGCATCTGTTAACGAGACAATTAAAAAAGGCACCCAAATTATTGTGGTTCAAGCTACAGACAGAGATGCTGAAGATAAAATACTAAAGTAAGTGTTGATACAACTAGAGATTATGTTGTAGCAAAACTCGTCCAAGTACTCTTTTTAATTAGTTAGATGGTAAATGGCGAGCGGTATATTGATGGTGTTTATTTACTTGAGCGGCTACCTATAAAATTATGGAGGGGGTCTATTCGCAAAAGAGAGAAACAAACTATTGAGGTTTACTAAATTATATTTTATCATACTTAAAACCAAAATTAAAATAAAGCAAATATCTTTCTATGTCTGACAGCCACTTCTATTTTTCCAAAATCAAGTTATTTCACATGCGTTCAAATTTCATTACTACGGACCAGGAAATATCCATACTAAAAACGCCCTCGCCCTACTTCTTCTATTCCTAATAACTTATAAGTTTATACATTATAGCACTTCCGATTCACATTCCTATTAAAACTACCCTTCACCTATATCTATAAATTCTTAAAACTCCTAAGTCATTTATTGGCAGCTTATGCAGAATAATTATTTAAGTCATAATCCTACTCACTGGATTAAGTATATATGTATTACCAACTAGATTTTTATAAAAACCTTACAATAATTACTAAATGAAAAACGCTAATTCAAAACTTCAGCACTTAAGGTGAACTGCAACTCAAAGTTACTTCATGAACAACAATTTTAAAACAAAACTTTCCAATACCTACATTTAGTGGTTCCATCCTTCATTAAGGATCATTTTGAACAGAACAATTACTATTTTCGGATTCCTAGCCAACAAACACAATTATTTAAAATCTTATTAGTTCGTTACTATAGCCCTTAAACTTCAATTGGACAATCCAATTCAAAATTCTTTAATAATTCCTACTCAAAATCGAATATTGTTAAGAGCATTAGAATTTTCCTTTGTTGATTCTTTGCAAAATTAATGAAAATGTCATTATACTCGAAGGCAATTAAAGTTATGCAATAAAGTTTTTACAGTCAAATCACTCAAGTTTTTATGCATTACAGTTCAATGTCAATTCACTTCTTATTAAAGTCAAAAAGTTTTACTAGTCACTAGAGTACTTACATTCAACTTTTCACTCGTAAAATTAATTAATTTACTTTAAAAATCTCTAGAGCTCGCACATAATGTTGAATGACTAAATAATGTTCTTTCTTTCACAATTTCCGTTACTTTTTTAAAGCTTAACGCGTTTTTCCGATGCAACAAAATGAAAGAAACTCTTCGCGAACTTTAACCGGACTGACTCATTAGGTACTGTAGATTTAACTCAAACTGGACTGAACTTAAACTTAAACTGATCGCAACTGATCCTCCACTTCTAAAACCGCTATATTTATATTATTCGATCCCCCCAAAATTCCTTTGTCCATAATTCATTAAACTTCCTTATTTTTTTGTTTAAAATCGAATAATTATGTCGCCATTTTCCTGGTTTATTGGGGTCAACAGATTTCGTATAAAAATGTGAGGACATATAACTCAAAGAATACCGATACACGTGTTGACGTCTCGGCTATATCGTCGCTGTCATTACGAACTGGCCAATCTCTGATTCCAGAACTTTGCAGGAGAGCGTTTTAAAGAAAACTCTACTGTTAATTTTGTCTGTAGCAGAACTTGTTTTTTTATACATAACACAAAAGTATACTTAGAACATTGAGACATATATTTTTAGAAAGAAAAGATTGGACTTTTTCTGTAAATAAATTATTGAGAAGATAGGCCCTTTCGTAATAACAAAAACAAATGTTTGGCTGTTTGACAAAGCAGATATGCCGCTAAAATTGAATAATGGCCACACGGTGTTTTATGGAGATATGCCAGTTCGTCACATCATAGATATGGTTCTTTTGAGTATTTTTATGGGAATAACTCATTTTCGCCAAACATTGAGATAGGCCCCTTCGTACTGACAGCGACGATATATCACCGATTTAATTATTTTGGCCTCGCTTTTAATATTCTTATAGATTTGATTTAGATGATGACTAAATAATAAGAAATTAAACGTTTTTTAGATATTTTAATTAATTTGGGTTAATTTTTATTGGTTTCATTTTCAATTTATTAATACTAATGTTAATTATTAGAAATTCAGTTTTTGATTATTTGATTACATTTAATTTTAACAGTAAAGACATTGTAAATTACGGGTCTTAAAACAAAAATTATTCCAGACATCAATTGATTGGTTCCAACACTATAACAAGCCTATTGAACATCGAATCGGCAACAGGCGAAATATCTGTAGCAGTCGAAGACGCATTCGACTACGACCGAATAAATCCTGTAATTTTTCAAGTGCAAGCGATCGATTTGGTTAATCACACAACTACAGTTTCGGTCACAATCAATCTACTCGATGTCAACAACAAAGCTCCGACTTATAAAGTGGCCGAAGTGATACGTGTGGATGAGAATCAAGTAATTGATATAAAGCTGAATGCAACGATAACAGCTTCAGATGTGGATACTACCAGGGATTTAGTGGCCGAAATCAATTGGGATAAATCGTACGCTATGAAGAACTCGATTAAATTGGATTTAACCAAACCCCCACTCAAACAAGCAGTAGAGTAAGTTTAATTCAGAAACTAAATATTTGATGCTAATTATGGTTTTTAGATTTTTAAAGTTGGATTACGATAAAATTAGCGAAGATACTATTGAAATAACGCTTCTGGTGAATGATAACAACGACGCAGAAACTGCACCAGACTATGAAACTTTCGATACGCTATATTTGGATTTGAATATAACGGATTTGAATACTGAAGTGCCTGAGTTTGAGAAGCAAAAGAGTATCGATGGTAAGTAGAGGATGAATCAATCAAACAATATTCTTTGTGACTTATAGCCTGTTTGCTTTATTCCAAACCAACCACTCTAGTAAAGATTCCTCTATGTCCATTTTTTTTTTAAGCATTAATCGTAGTCTACATAAATGACATTAACGACAACGCACCAATATTCACCAACGAAACGATTGCCAAAAAACGCTCAGTCTTGGAAAAATTGACCAAAGGCACCATCGTCGGTACCATCGAGGCTGTAGACTTGGATGTTGGTAGCGTTGTTGAATACGCTTGCAAGTAAGTAACTCAAAAAAAAAATTAAATACTTGTTTCAATGATTTACATATTTCAGCCTGAATAAAACTTTCGATTGGTTTGAGTGCGATAAATTCGGGCAAATAACCACTAAAACCTCAGCAATCGATGCTGATATTGGAGTTTTTTACGTGGATCTTAATTGTACTGCTACGGACGGTTACTGGATAACTTGGCATGTTGTAAGTAACGATTTTCAGGTTTTGTAAACCAATAGGCCTGTATAAAAGTTCTGCATCAAACTTAAATTTTACAGAATGGGAAGTGAATCAACACCTTTTTATTTTTCTGTTGAGTTACTTACACTGTTTATAGGTTCGGTTCCTTGTGGGAAGATGTAAATTTAGTGCTGGTTCAAAGGTATTTCAAGAAGAATTTTATGATTTTCCAAGGATGAAAGTGGGAAAACATCATAAATTCCTATCTGGGCATCAGATCAATTTCCAGCTTCGTTCATATTTCAAAAGAAACTCCAATTTATATATTATGAAAGTTTCAAGTTGATGTTTTCATGGGACAAAGTATTTATTCATCTTGAACATTCAAATGTGATTTTTGAGGATTTTTTTTTTTTTGGTTTTTGCATGATCCAATTAGGGAATAATCAAAAATCCTTTATTTTCATTTCCAGCTTCGTTCATATTTTAAAACAAGCTTCAGTTTAGTAATACTAAAAGTTTCGAGTTTCTTTGATGGGTCAAAGTTTTCATCACAGACAATTGACTGGTTTTCCTAAGATTTACCATTATTTCCTTGAAATTTCACATGAGTTCCTCAAGACTTCTCTTGATTTCTTCATGATTTCCTCTGATTTCCTTATAATTTGTACACCAGATAGCCCTTGTGATTTATACCTCTCGGGTTAAACCGCAGGTCAGTGTTTGTACACCAGATTGCAGTTTTAGGGAAAAGCATGGATGATTTTCTTTGATTTCTTCTGATTACCAGTAGTTAGATATAGAGATTGACTGGTTTCCTGAAGATTTCTTAAGATTTCCCCTGATTTCCTTAAGATTTCCCTTGATTTCTTCATGATTTCCTTATGATTCCCACTGATTGCCTCAGATTCCCTATGTAAACCAGATTTCCCTTGCGGTAAACCGAAAATCAGTTTTTGTACATTAGATTGCGGTTATAGGGGATATCATGGATGATTTCCCATGATTCCCCCTGATTTCTTTTGATTACCAGCAAGTTTGCTCAAAAGTTCCAGAGTTCCCCTGATAAAATAACTTCAAATTATAAAGATTTCTGAAAATTGGGAATGTGTTAAATCTAGAGTTTGACTGGTTTTCCCAAGATTTACCCTTATTTCCTTCAAATGAGTCCCTTGATTTCTTCATAATTTTCTTATGATTTCCACTAATCGCCTCAAATTTCCTCTTGATTTCCCGTAATTTATATACCAGATTTCCCTTACGGTGTAGGTACCCCTTGGGGTGAACCGCAAATCAATTTTTGAACACCATATTGCGGTTTTGGGGAAAATCATGGATGATTTCCCATGATTTCTTCTGATTACCAGTAAGATTCCTTCGCGGTTTATCCCGAGGGGTAAACCGCAAATTAATTTTTGTATATCAGATTGCAGTTTCAGGGGAAATTATGGATGATTTTCCATTATTTCTTTCAATTACCAGTAAGATTGCCCAAGAGTTCCCCTGATAACATAACTTCAAATTATAAAGATTTTTGAAAACTGCGAATGCGTTAGATCTAGAGATTAACTGCTTTCCTCAAGATTTCTTAAGATTTCCCTTGATTTCTTCATGATTTCCTTATGATTCCCACTGATTGCCTCAGATTCCCTTGGATTTCCTCTTGATTATCCCTATGTAAACCAGATTTCCCTTGCGGTTTACCCCTCATGGTAAACCGAAAGTTTACAGTTTTTGTACATTAGATTGCGGTTATAGGGGAAATCATGGATGATTTTCCATGATTTCCCCGGATTTCTTTAGATTACCAGTAAGATTGCTCAAAAGTTATAAAAAAATAGATTTTCGAAAACTGGTAATGCGTTAGATCTAGAGATTGAATGGTTTCCTCAAGATTTCACATTTTTTCCTTAAGATTATCCCCGAGTCTCTTAAGATTTCCCTTAAATTCTTCATAATTTTCTCTGATTTTCTTATGATTTCCCCTGATTCCCTTGGATTTCTTCGGACTTCCTCTTGATTTTTCCGAATTTGTGTATCAGATTCCCCTTGCGAATGCGTTAGATCTAGAGATTGACTGGTTTCCTCAAGGTTTCTTGAGATTTCCCCTGGAGTCCTTAGGATTTCCCTTGATTTCTTCATGATTTCCACTGATTTCCTATGGTTCCCTCGAATTTCCTCTTGATTATCCCTGATTTGTACACCGATTTTCCTTGCAGTTTACCCCTCGTGGTAAACCGAATATCAGTTTTTTTACATTATATTGCGGTTATAGGGAAAATCATGGATGATTTCCCATGATTCCCTCTGATTTTTTCTAATTACCAGCAAGTTTGCTCAAGAGTTCCCCTGATAAAATAACTTCAAGTTATAAAGATTTCTGAAAACTCGGAATGTCTTAAATCTAGAGTTTGACTGGTTTTCTCAAGATTTCCCCTATTTCCTTCAGATTATCCCTGAGTCCCTTGATTTCTTCATAATTTTCTTATGATGTCCCCTGATCGCCTTACATTTCCCGTTATTTGAATACCAGATTCCCCTTGCGGTGTACCCCTTGGGGTGAACCGTAAATCAATTTTTGAACACCAGATTGCGGTTTTAGGGAAAATCAATGGATGATTTCCCATGATTTCTTCTGATTGCCAGTGAGATTCCCTCGCGGTTTATCCCGAGGGGTAAACCGCAACTTAATTTTTGTATATCAGATGTTGCTTTCCTCAAGATTTCTTAAGATTTCCCTTGATTTCTTCATGATTTTCACTCATTTTCTTATGATTCCCACTAATTGCCTCAGACTCTCTCGGATTTTCTCTTGAATATCCCTACTTTGTACACTAGATTTCCCTTGCGGGTAACCCCTCGGGGTAATCCGCAAGGGAAATCTGGTGACAAATTAGGGATAATCAAGAGGAAATTCCAGGGAGTCTGAGGCAATCAGTGGGAACCATAAGGAAATCAGGGGAAATCGTGAAGAAATCAGGGGAAGTCTTAAGGAATTCAGGGGAAATTTTAGGAAATCTTGAGTAAACCAGTCAATCTCTAGATCTAACGCATTAGCAGTTTTTAGAAATCTTTAAAATTTGAGGTTATGTAAATCATAAGAAGATCAGAGAAAATTATGAAGAAATCAAGGGAAATCTTAAGGGACTCGGGAATAATCTGAAGGAAATAATGGGAAATCTCGAGGAAACTAGTCAATATCTAGATTTAACGCTTTCCCAGTTTTCAGAAATCTTTATAATTTGAGGTTATTTTACCATGGAAACTTACTGGTATTCAGAGGAAATCTGAAGAAATCATGGCAAATCATTCATGATTTCCCTATAACCGCAATCTTATGAACAAAAACTGATTTGAGGATTATCACAATTGTACATTAGATTGCGGTTATAGGGGAAATCATGGATGATTCCCATAATTTTCCCTGATTTTTTCTGATAGGTACTAGTAAGTTTGCTCAAGAGTTCCCCTGATAAAATAACTTCAAATTATAAAGATTTCTGAAAACTGGGAATGTGTTGAATCTAGAGGTTAACTGGTTTCCTCAAGATATTTTCCCTTGATTTCTTCATAATTTTCTTATGATTTCCCCTGATTGCCTTGAATTTTCTTTTGATATTTCCTAATTTGTAATCAGATTCTCCTTACGGTTTATCCCTCGGAGTAAACGCAAATCTTTTTTTGTACACCAGATTGCTGTTTTAGGGAAAATCATGGATGATTCCGCATGATTTCTTCTAATTACCAGTAAGATTTCCTCGCGGTTTACCCCGAGAGGTAAACCGCAGGTTAGTATACTAAATTGCGGTTTTAGAAGAAATCATGGATGATTTTTCATGATTTCTTTCGATTAACAGTGAGATTGCCCAAGAGTTCCCCTGATAACATAGCCTCAAATTATAAAGATTTTTAGAAATTGCGAATGCGTTAGATCTAGAGATCGACTGGTTTCCTCAAGATTTCTTAAGATTTCCCCTGAATTCCTTAAGATTTTCCCTGATTTCTTCATGGTTTTCACTGATTTGTTTATAATTTCCCCTGATTGCCTTAGGATTTCCTCCCCTAATTTGTACACTAGATTTCCCTTGTGGTTTACTTTTCGAGCTTAACCGCAGGTCAGCTTTTGTATACTAGAGCTGAGACTCTGTAATGAATAGTGACCTTTTCTTTATCTCTATTGGCGTCTCTATTGATTTCGAAAAGAGAGGAGAGGATAGCAAGTGCCATAGCGATGGGAATAACGATCTCTATCCGTTGTAGAGTCCCAGCCCAGAATGCAGTTTCAGGGGAAAACAAGGATGATTTCCCATGATTTTCCTTGATTTCTTTTGATTACCAGTAAGATGTTTCCCTGATAACATAACCTCAAATTATAAAGATTTTTGAAAACTTCGAATACGTTAGATCTAGACTGATTTCCCCTGAGTTACTTCAAATTTTCTTCGATGTCCTCATGATTTCTTCTGATTTCTTTATGATTGTCCCTCATTGCCTCAGATTTCCTCGGCTCTTGATTTTCCCTAATTTGTACAACAGATTTCTCTTGTGGTTTACCCCTCGGACAAAGTATTCATAACACACCTTCACAGGAAATTTTAGAGGAAATTTTTAATTTTTCAAGGATCAAAGGTGGAAAAAAATATACCTACGTCCCTATTTGAGCTACAGAACAATTTCAATTCTCAATTTTCGTTCATATTTCGAATGAAACTTCAATTTGGAAATTTCGAAACTTTCAGGTTCGTTTCATGGGGCAAAATTTTCATCTTATAGAGGATTTTTTTCAGTTTTCAAGGATCAAAATAGAAACTGATCCAAAATCCTTTTGGAATTTCATAACAAATTTCAACGTTATTCTTATTTCATAAAAAAAACAATTTATGAACTCTGAACAGTTTTAAGTCGTTGTATTTATCACAGACCTTCAAATGTGATTTTAGAGGAACTTTATGATCTCTCAAGGATAACTTCCTTTCTGATCTTCATATCAATTATCGGTCAGGTTAATTTTCTTGAGATAATTCCTACTTATTTTTAAAAAAATTAAAAGTTAGGGAAACTGGGGTTTGAAGAGAAAAGGTCTAGGATTTGTATGATTTTTCTTTCAGTTTAGTATCGATATTCTCGACACAAACGACCAATGGCCTCAAATTGATGTGAACGCAACTTCGCCAAGTGCCGAGACGGTAAAAGTGGATGAAAAAAGTGAAACTGGAACTCTAGTCACAACCATAAGGTATCGAGATGCTGATCGAGATAGTGAGTACCTATAATGGAGTGTAAAAATAAAACTATAATTCCATAACCATTTTTCAGAACCATTCCATACAGTCAATTGTACCATCAACGAAACCGAAGAGTGTTTCGGATTTTTCGAAATCAAAATAAACGAGTTGTACGTTCTGAATGGCGGCGATAATTTGGACAGAGATACAAAAAAACCTAATTATACTTGCACGCCTACATGCTACGACAATCGATTGAAAGAACAAGGTAATGAAACATTATTCATCAACAACCCAGCTATTAAATATTTTTGCTTTGAAGATCAGGGACAGAATTTCAATACCACCACTTCGTTTCTAATAATACTTAAGGACATTAACGATCATTGGCCTGAACTGATTACAAAAAGTGTTAGTGCTAGTGAAAATTTGAAGCAGGTACGATAATTATACAGTTTTCTTCAATGTATAAATAATAATAATTGTTTCAGGATGATTTAATAGATAAAATCATTGCTGAAGACTTAGACGAAGGTAAAAACTCTGAAATTGATATGACAATATTGAGCGTAGAAAAATTAGATGATAAAACCGAAAAAGACTATTCAAATCTATTTCGTTTGTATAAAAACGAAAGCGACTACTATACGGATATAAGTACCATAAAACAATGGTACTTGTTGGCTAATGTCGATTTACGTGACAATTATGGCGAATATTCTATAAAATTAAATGTAAGAAGTATTTATTTTTCCTTACATGTTTCCATAAACTTTATTTTGCAGCTAAGTGATCAAGGTGATCCTATAAACTCAACCACAACTCTCCTTCCAGTCCAAATACAAAAATTCAATTATTACCCGCCAGTTTTTGTTTTTCCAAACGCTTCAAAACTTACATTTTCTTTAAGTTCGGTAAGTTTATTCAATAACATCCACAAACCTCATCAATAAATCAAAATTTGCAGGATCAAGAACCCAATAAACAACTAATAATGTATTACAACAACGAAATATTCGAAGATATTAAAATAACCGATTCAGCTGATGAACAATGTATCGATAAATGGACCCCAACTTTTGATATAGCTCTTATGAATGCCTCAAAAACTATAACCAACTTTTTTGTACTTAATAAATCTGCTAAAAATTGTACCACGCAATTACAAGTAAACAATTTATACGATCAAGCTGAAGCTATCGATAACATATATCAGCTTCGCTTAACAGCAACTTTAGCCCAAGATGTAATAAAACAAGAAAATGAAGCTAGCTACGTTGAATCGATCGATATTAAATTGAATTTCGTCGATGTCAATGACGAGCCTGAATTTAATCAGACACTTGGAGCCTGGAATATAAACTTTCTTGAAGCAACCGATGATGATCCAAAACAATTACCAACAAATAGACAAGCATTTTATCCAAATGTTGATGACAGTGATAGAATACCAAGTAACAATATTTCTTTGTAAAAAAAAATATAATATACATAATTAGAATTTGTTTTTTAGAGCATTACTTTTTAAAATCACAAAACGACAGTGTTACTGAAGCATTTGAAATCGATGAAAGTACAGGAAATGTTTCCTTAAAACAACAATTGGATTATTTGAAAGCCTCCAGTTACGATTTCAAAATGCGCGTTGCCAGAAATTCGAGTGGAGTATCCAGTAAAGATGCTTCAAGCTTAGAAGTTATAGTAACTGTAAGCTATAATGCAGCTGAGTATGTAGTTTTTGGGAATTTTAAATTGGTTTTAGGTGATCGACATCAACAATCACGCCCCTGAATTTGTTCAAGACTCATTTTTCGGGGCTATTTTGCAAAATACTCAAAACGGAGCAACGATTGTTACGCTTAATGTAAGTAATTTTTTTTTTTGTAAATAATGGACTATATTATTCAATTTACTACAGGCGACGGATTTGGATGAAATTGACAAAGACGATCTCAAGTATAGTATCAACAGTGATATAGTTGCTTACGGGAATAGTATTGAAAATGCCTTTTTGCTGAATGAGGATACTGGAGCGATAACTTTGAATTTTCAAGTCGACTATAATATTAATGGGTATTTTGTGTTTTCGGTTAAAGTGCAGGATCAACAAGATCAATATGGAAATGGTAAGAATTTTGAAGAAATCCTTAAGAAAAAATTTAGAATCTGTTTTCATATTGTTCTCAAGCTGTCTGATAGTTTTTTCCCCCTAACCCCAGTTTTTTCAGTCTTTGGAAAATCCTGAAAAATACTTTGGAGAATCAGATCCATTTCTAAGTTTCAGGATTTGTTGACCAGGATCTTTTCATCAAACAAGGCAAATTTGTAGTCAATTAGAAGCTCAGAAATAAAATTATGAGATTTTTCTCAACTTGATATCAAACAACCCATGTTAAATCACATTTGAAAAATCCTGGAAAATACTTCGGAAAATCAGATCAATTGAAAACTTTCAAGATTTATTTACCAGGATCTTTCCATCAAACAATGCAATGAATAATTATACAGTTTTGTATATTTTTGTGTGGTACTGCATTCGTTCGTAAGTCGATCGAGTGTATGCCACTGGTATTTTCCTGTTTCTGACTATTCCCTCAACCTTTTCATGTTATAGACCTACGGCCGAGAAGCAAATAAGTCACCTCATCGGGTACAAAAGGTTCGAGTTTCTTAAATGAAAGTACTTTATGTGCATATCTCAAAATCGGCCGTCTGCCGGGGTCCAGCGGTCAACTTCACAAATGACAGCTCGTCAAAAAGACGAAAATCTGGGTTTTCTCACCTCATTGGTACATGCCTAAAAATTTCAGAATGTGTTAGGGAAAAGCTCCTAGATACCTAATTCGGCCGGCAGACGTCGATATTTGGACGCCTATGTAAAGCAGACGCCCGCCGCGACGCCGAAAATCTGACGTAAGTTACCTTATGAGGTACATATGCAAAGGACCCCGCACACCTCTTATGGGTTTTTGGTTTTCTGTCAAACTCAATGAAATTTTGATATGTGTTAGACCTTGACTTCCTGATAAAAAGTTCTCATGGGCCCGAACCAATTCTATAATTAGTCTTTGAGATACAGGTACTTTTATATCCAAGAAATGTATACATTTTATATGTACCTACAGTTTTTGAATAATCATACAGTTTCCTATGTGGGTATAATTTTTGAATAATCAATCATACAGTTTTGTATATTTTCGTATGGTTCTCCGCATCCGTTCGTAGGTCGATCGAGTGTACGCCACTGGTATTTTCCTGTTTTTGACTATTCCCTCAACCTTTCTATGTTAGTATGAAATTAATCATAATATGTACAGTTTTTGAATAATCATACAGTTTCCTATGTAGTTACAGTTTTTGAATAATCATACAGTTTCCTATGTGGGTATAATTTTTGAATAATCAATCATACAGTTTTGTATATTTTCGTATGGTTCTCCGCATCCGTTCGTAGGTCGATCGAGTGTACGCCACTGGTATTTTCCTGTTTTTAACTATTCCCTCAACCTTTCCATGTTAGTATGAATTCAATCCTACGTACCTACAGTTTTTGAATAATCATACAGTTTTCTATCCATTTCACATTTCAAGTAATTACTTACACAATTATGAATTATTTATTAAGGTCCATTCGAAGACACATCCTCTGTAACCATCTACATTGTCACCGAAGAATACATTCTAGGATTCAAATTCGAAAATACCTTGGACCAAGTTGTCGGCAAAAAATTACCAGTAAGTTTCTATAGCATGAAGCATCTTTGTTTACTAATGCAACTTCTAGATTCTTAAATCCATCAGCGATTCTCTTGGTTGGGATTGTCACGAGCAAAGCATCGACAAAGACAGTCAAAGCGGTTACACTTACGACAACGTAACCAAAGCGAACATCTATTGTGTCGATGGTGATACTCTGGTTACGTCAGCGAAAATGAAAGAGTAATTATTAGAAGTAAAAATTATATGGAAAAAAATTAATGTTTTTGCAGGAAATTGAATAACATCAACACGTTTCAACTGCTTAAAAAAGCTTTGCTTGAGTCTGGCATTTTGCTTCAAAATTTCAACACCGACACTGCAACAGAAGGAAACTTGGAGTCCACTTTGAAAACAGCTTTAATATCAGTTTCCCTTGTACTTGGAACCTTGACCTTAGTTTTGAGTGTTACATTTTTCCTTAAAGCTAGAGAGTTGAAACGAAGACTCAACAAGTTGACACGTCAAGAATTTGGTTCGGACGATTCTAATATGAACAGAAAAGGTGTTAACGCACCTACAACTAATATGTTCACCATTGAAGGTTCAAATCCTATTTTCAATCATGATACTGATGATTTTATTAAGGCTGATATTTTGAGGTGAGTGCTTTGGTTTAAGAAGCTTTGTTTAATTGATTTTTATTTTTAGTATTCATAGTGGTCACTCGGATTTAAGTGGACTGGAAGATAATCCTGAATTTGATTTGCACGATACCGAAAAATATTAATTTGATTTAAGTTGTATGGTTTTAATGATTTATTTTTAAATAAAATGAGTGTAGTAGATTTTATTTTTTTCGTGTTCTCTATATTCTTGCATTTCAATTCCTTGTGAAATGCTCCATTTTCCTGGATCAGAGCGAGGGGTATTTCACTGGCCACAATATATGTACAAATTTCGGTATAGTATTGCGGCAGTAATTTCTCAATAGCTCACAATGCCTTGCAATAGAATGCAATACCTTGCAATAGTGCACAATACTTTGCAGTAGTCTACAATATGCTCGCAATAGTTGACAATATCATTACAATAATCTAAAATACTATCGCAATAGCTTGCAATAGGTTTGCAGTTGTTCTTCACTTTAATTTTTATACTCTTGTCGATGAAAATCCTTGAGATTATCTCTGAGATTCCTGTGTTTTAGTATATAGTTTTCGTATATTTGATAACTTATTTGGAATATTTTTGCAGTAGCATGCTATATATTTAATTTTTGCATTGGGACAAATGCACATGGCATGCCCATTCAACTATCTCTATACCAAAAGCTATAAATCAGCGTCTATCACTCGTTGGGTATAAATTTGAATACGGATTTTATTTTTGTTGCACTGTATTCTAACTTTAACTTAAGAGTGTAGGAAAATAGAACAACTGTGAAATATAAGGGCGGGATTGTCTTCTCCTCTGGTTCTCTTCTCTCGCTTCCTCTATTTGGTCTCATGTTTGCGTCACTGTTTTTCAGATATTAGGAATAGACAATATCCAAGATTATACAGTTGACTGTTTTGACGGACATCCGTCTGAGGCTATTCAGAAGGAAACTAATAATGATGTGGTGAAAGCAGACAAAGAACCAGAGGAGCTTAACTTTCTTAAAAATTATATGGACAGGTTAGTTTTTAATGTTAAAAATTACAATGCTTAGGTAACAGATATGAAGAATGGAAACTTTTCAAAAATACATTTAAAAAACAGAAAGAAAGTCAACTCTATATTGTTTTTTTGTTGAAAAAATAGACAACTCTGATATTCACACAAGTGAAAATGAATTCGGAAATGAAATTTTCAGTGAAGACTCTATAATGTCGAAGTAAATGATAAAGGAGGAAGACTATAATATTCGAACTGAATATTACTATGCAGTACATTATGTTATGATACTGTGTGGTACATTGGAAAAGTACTGCATACAGACAACAAGAAAAGCAAAGTGAAGTTTCTAAAATTGAATGTATGCCAGTTTAGATGGCCTGGAAAAGATGGAATTGATGATCTCATCCATTTGATTTAGATCATAAAGATTTAAATAATATGAAAGAAAAATATAAAAGTTTGAAGAAATAGGGAATACCTAAGTATGTACTGCAATAGCTTGCAATAGTTCACAATAATCACAATGGTTTGCAATACCTAGAAACATTCGGCAATAGGTTGCAATAGTCCACAATACCCTCACAATACTCTGCAATACCTGAGTATTGCATAATATATGTACAAAAAACCTCAGTGAAATACCCCTCGGATCAGAGATAACTTCCTGGATAGTTTATAAAGACACGTTACAGAGTTAAGTACACTTGACAATGACAGTTTAGATCTCTCAAAATTCTAGCAGTAGTCTGTCATATTTTTGCCAAAATTCTTATCAGTTAACACAACTTTCAGACCAATAATATAACAATGGGCAGCAGGAACAGGAAAACGAAACTATCCATGGAAAACGACAAAGATTCAGTTGAACGTAAAAGACAGTGTCGCATCGATTATACGAGCTTGTTACCAAACGAAATAATGATTAAAATTTTCTCACTCCTCCCACACGAAGATCTTTTCCGAAACATCCGTTGCGTCAATAAAAGATGGTATAATCTAACCAAAGCACCCACACTTTGGAGAATAATATCTGCCGATAGAAAAGTACCATCCAGTATATTACGTAAGTGGATCAGACATTCGCCACTGTTAAAAGAAATATCGTTTTTTAATAGGGACGATATGGACGTTCTTATTGAATACATTTCCAAGTATTCGTCGCATCTACAAAGCATCATAATCGAGAATTGTTGGGGCAATTCGAAAAACAACTACATCAAAGGACGACGCGCCTGCGGGATGCTTAAAAAATGTCCGAAACTTTGCATTTTGAATTTCACGCAGACCTGCATCAATTCGACGAAATTTTTTAGGATTTTAGCTACGAGAGCCGGCGAAGACGTCGAGCCTAAAAAGTATACGTATATCGGGCCCATCACTCAGAAACAAATGGAAGCATTGCTAGATTCGATTCATCGGGATAATAAGCATGATTTGGTGGTTTCGTCGTCTTCACAGCATTTCGGGCACATTGTAGATGCAGGTTCGCCACGAGTAACGCCATCAGTGTCCGACTTTATTTGGAACAATCTTAACGGGCGATATCCAAATGAATAATTATTGCATTAAGTTCATATAGTACATTAATTTATTTATTTGTTTATTAAAATTGTTTTTTTGTATTTAAACTGCATTTTCTTTGATCTGTAGCAAGAAATAGTTATTTATACACCAAGTGAGTTAAATGAATGTTTGTTCATGAAAACTTTAGCGAGTGGGTTAATTTTCTTCAAAAATATACAAAACTGTATGATTATTCAAAAACTGTGCATAGGATTGAATCCATACTAACATGGAAAGGTTGAGAGAATAGTCAGAAACAGGAAAATACCAGTGGCGTACACTCGATCGACCTACTTCCACACAAAAAATGTAAAAATTAAATAGATAATCAAGAAATTCTACAGTTTGGCAATTCAAAACTAAATAAGAGCGAAGTTGTAACATTTCTTGACAACCCAGAAACAAAGTGAAAGTTAATTTTATTCTAATTTACTCAAAAAATAAACAGTTCAAAATTAAGAAAAAATTTATTGTTAGAGATATCTACAAAACAAACAAAAAAATACAAAAAAAAGCGTACTACAAAGAGAGCGTATAAATTCGAGTTTAGATGCCTATTCTACTTATAATAAATCACAAAAACATGCACCTAAACCTAAAATAAAGAGAGCTTCAATATTTAAACCAAAGGATAACTAGCCTGGGTGGCAACACCGCAATTATTATCCTTATTCCTGGCCATTTTAATGTAACCCTCCAAACCCCAGCTGGGACCCCAAGAGTTCTTCACTAGCCAATAATCGTGACCGGTTTTTTCATCAGTACCATAACCAACAATCAAAACACCATGATCCAATTGTTCCGAGCTGCACTGGGGATCGTAGTAAACTCCGCCGGCGTAAAGCTGGAAAGTTTCGTGACTGGCGTCAATGGCAATGGAAATTGGTCCAACAGTGGCAACAGCTGCTTTCAATTGGTCTTCATTGCCTGTTTCAATATCGACAAAGCCTTTGTCAGTTGCTCCCTTATTTTTAGGGTTGTAATGGCATTTTTCGTCTTCAGCTCTGTAGGGGTAGGATTTTTCAGTGTCAATACCGTTGTTTGCTTTGACGTAACGGAAAGCGTTGTCCATTAAACCACCATTGCAGCCGTTGTTGCCGTATTTAGTTGAGCAATCGACAAGATTTTGTTCACTCAGCGATACTAGTTTGTTGGTTTTACGGAAAGTTTGGCCTTCTAATGCTCCAGTCTGGAAAAAATTATCAAATATATTATACTGAACTAAATAAAGAAAAAATTCTTACAGCACTGAAACTCCAGCAAGATCCACATTGTCCTTGATCCTTGACAGGCGTAACAGCTCCTTGCTCTCTCCAATCAACATTATCAGGCAATTTAACATTAGCTGGTTGTATAAAGGTGATGGAATCGTCCAAATCGCTGCCTCTTAAAATGCTGTTTTTGGTCTTGTTGTACCCATTGAGGGTGGAAACGAATTCGTGATGCAACAAGTCGGCGTACTTGTTCAGGCCCAACTTGTATGAAACTAGACCTTGTTCATAGAGTTGATTATGTTTGGCTACTTTGTGCGAGTTGTCCATGTAAATTTTCATTCTGAAACGTTCTTCGGTTTCTGATTCGTAGTTTTTGCCGTGTTGAGCCTAGAAAATTAATTTGAATTTTAATAAAAAGCTAATTTTCTTGTAAACATGCTAAATAGTTTTAAGATGAATTGAAGCTTTTTAACAAAGTAGAAAATATTCATAGGATGTTTTCAATTTAGAAGATCAAATACTTCAAGGTTAGGAAAATTTGGAAGATGAGAAATAAAAAGGCTTAAGTAAAATAACCAAAAAAAAAAGGAAGATGGGAAAGACTTAGAGGTTGATACCAATAATTGGTAGGCAAAAACGGGGAAGGAGTCAGATGATCATAGAAAACAGGAATAGGATTCACAGAGAAATCGAAAGCCAAATGACAATGAGAAGATGTCGAAAACCCACCACCTTGGAATTATAGAATACAAGCATAAGTATGGGATTCTAATGGAATTCTGTGTTAAGTTTTGAACTAAGTTAAAGCTGAAAAGTTTATTTTATGAGTAAACTGAATCCTGAAAATCTCAAGTATTTTTCAGGATTTTTCGATAATAATATATTCTATTCTATCCTATCTCATTCTCGGGCTGAGTTCTTTCCCCACTGCACTCAAGCTTTAAAGATGATATAACATGAAACTGGTATCAAGTTGGAAAAAACCTCACAATTTTATTTCTGAACTTCAGATTGACTTCAAATTTGCTTTGTTTGATGAAAAGATTCTGATTAATGATTTCTGAACCTGAAAATTTCAAGTCAATCTGAAACTCTGAAGTATTTTTCAGGATTTTTCAAAGGTGATTTAACGTGAATTTTCCAATTTTTTCTGGTATTAAGTTAGAAAAAAATCTCATAATTTTATTTCTGAGCTTCAGATTGACTTCAAATTTTCCTTGTTTGATGGAAAGATCCTGGTTAATAAATCCTGAAAGTTTCAAGTCGATCTTATACTCTGAAGTATTTTTCAGGATTTTTCAAAGGTGATTTGACGTGAATTTTTCAACTTTTTCTAGTATTAAGTTAGAAAAAACCTCATAATTTTATTTCTGAGCTTCAGATTGACTTCAAATTTTCCTTGTTTGATGAAAAGATCCTGGTTAATGAATCCTGAAAGTTTCAAGTCGATCTGATACTCTGAAGTATTTTTCAGGATTTTTCAAAGGTGATTTGACGTGAATTTTTCAACTTTTTCTGGTAATAAGTTAGAAAAAAACCTCATAATTTTATTTCTGAGCTTCAGATTGACTTCAAATTTTCCTTGTTTGATGAAAAGATCCTGGTTAATGAATTCTGAAAGTTTCAAGTCGATCTGATACTCTGAAGTATTTTTCAGGATTTTTTAAAGGTGATTTGACGTGAATTTTTCATTTTTTTCTAGTATTAAGTTAGAAAAAACCTCATAATTTTATTTCTGAGCTTCAGATTAACTTCAAATTTTTCTTGTTTGATGGAAAGATCCTGGTTAATAAATCCTGGAAGTTTCAAGTCGATCTGATACTCTGAAGTATTTTTCAGGATTTTTCAAAGGTGATTTGACGTAAATTTTCCAACTTTTTCTGGTATTAAGTTGGAAAAAACTTCATAATTTTGTTTCAGAGCTTCAAACTGACTTCAAATTTGCCTTATTTGATGAAAACATCCTGGTTAATAAATCCTGAAAAGATCAGATACTCCGAAGTATTTTTCAGGATTTTTCAAAGGCTATTTAACATGAATTTTCCACCTTTTTCTAGTATTAAGTTAGAAAAAACCTCATAATTTTATTTCTGAGCTTCAGATTTACTTCAAATTTTCCTTGTTTGATGGAAAGATCCTGGTTAATGAATCCTGAAAGTTTCAAGTCGATCTGATACTCTGAAGTATTTTTCAGGATTTTTCAAAGGTGATTTGACGTGAATTTTTCAACTTTTTCTGGTAATAAGTTAGAAAAAAACCTCATAATTTATTTCTGAGCTTCAGATTTACTTCAAATTTTCCTTGTTTGATGGAAAGATCCTGGTTAATGAATCCTGAAAGTTTCAAGTCGATCTGATACTCTGAAGTATTTTTCAGGATTTTTCAAAGGTGATTTGACGTGAATTTTTCAACTTTTTCTGGTAATAAGTTAGAAAAAAACCTCATAATTTTATTTCTGAGCTTCAGATTTACTTCAAATTTTTCTTGTTTGATGGAAAGATCCTGGTTAATAAATCCTGGAAGTTTCAAGTCGATCTGATACTCTGAAGTATTTTTCAGGATTTTTCAAAGGTGATTTGACGTGAATTTTCCAACTTTTTCTGGTATTAAGTTGGAAAAAACTTCATAATTTTGTTTCAGAGCTTCAAACTGACTTCAAATTTGCCTTATTTGATGAAAACATCCTGGTTAATAAATCCTGAAAAGATCAGATACTCCGAAGTATTTTTCAGGATTTTTCAAAGGCTATTTAACATGAATTTTCCACCTTTTTCTGGTATTAAGTTGGAAAAAACCTCATAATTTTATTTCTGAGTTTCAGATTGACTTCAAATTTTCCTTGTTTGATGAAAAGATCCTGGTTAATGAATCCTGAAAGTTTCAAGTCGATCTGATACTCTGAAGTATTTTTCAGGATTTTTCAAAGGTGATTTGACGTGAATTTTTCAACTTTTTCTGGTAATAAGTTAGAAAAAAACCTCATAATTTTATTTCTGAGCTTCAGATTGACTTCAAATTTTCCTTGTTTGATGGAAAGATCCTGGTTAATGAATCCTGAAAGTTTCAAGTCGATCTTATACTCTGAAGTATTTTTCAGGATTTTTCAAAGACTATTTAACATGAATTTTCCACCTTTTTCTAGTATTAAGTTAGAAAAAACCTCATAATTTTATTTCTGAGCTTCAGATTAACTTCAAATTTTTCTTGTTTGATGGAAAGATCCTGGTTAATAAATCCTGGAAGTTTCAAGTCGATCTGATACTCTGAAGTATTTTTCAGGATTTTTCAAAGGTGATTTGACGTGAATTTTCCAACTTTTTCTGGTATTAAGTTGGAAAAAACTTCATAATTTTGTTTCAGAGCTTCAAACTGACTTCAAATTTGCCTTATTTGTTGAAAACATCCTGGTTAATAAATCCTGAAAAGATCAGATACTCCGAAGTATTTTTCAGGATTTTTTAAAGGCTATTTAACATGAATTTTCCACCTTTTTCTGGTATTAAGTTGGAAAAAACCTCATAATTTTATTTCTGAGTTTCAGATTGACTTCAAATTTTCCTTGTTTGATGGAAAGATCCTGGTTAATGAATCCTGAAAGTTTCAAGTCGATCTTATACTCTGAAGTATTTTTCAGGATTTTTCAAAGGTGATTTGACGTGAATTTTTCAACTTTTTCTAGTATTAAGTTAGAAAAAACCTCATAATTTTATTTCTGAGCGTCAGATTGACTTCAAATTTTCCTTTTTTGATGAAAAGATCCTGGTTAATGAATCCTGAAAGTTTCAAGTCGATCTGATACTCTGAAGTATTTTTCAGGATTTTTCAAAGGTGATTTGACGTGAATTTTTCAACTTTTTTTGGTAATAAGTTAGAAAAAACCTTATAATTTTATTTCTGAGCTTCAGATTAACTTCAAATTTTTCTTGTTTGATGGAAAGATCCTGGTTAATAAATCCTGGAAGTTTCAAGTCGATCTGATACTCTGAAGTATTTTTCAGGATTTTTCAAAGGTGATTTGACGTGAATTTTCCAACTTTTTCTGGTATTAAGTTGGAAAAAACTTCATAATTTTATTTCTGAGCTTCAGATTTACTTCAAATTTTCCTTGTTTGATGGAAAGATCCTGGTTAATGAATCCTGAAAGTTTCAAGTCGATCTGATACTCTGAAGTATTTTTCAGGATTTTTCAAAGGTGATTTGACGTGAATTTTTCAACTTTTTCTGGTAATAAGTTAGAAAAAACCTCATAATTTTATTTCTGAGCTTCAGATTAACTTCAAATTTTTCTTGTTTGATGGAAAGATCCTGGTTAATAAATCCTGGAAGTTTCAAGTCGTTCTGATACTTTGAAGTATTTTTCAGGATTTTTCAAAGGTGATTTGACATGAATTTTCCAACTTTTTCTGGTATTAAGTTGGAAAAAACTTCATAATTTTGTTTCAGAGCTTCAAACTGACTTCAAATTTGCCTTATTTGATGAAAACATCCTGGTTAATAAATCCTGAAAAGATCAGATACTCTGAAGTATTTTTCAGGATTTTTCAAAGGCTATTTAACATGAATTTTCCACCTTTTTCTGGTATTAAGTTGGAAAAAATCTCATAATTTTATTTCTGAGCTTCAGATTGACTTCAAATTTTCCTTGTTTGATGGAAAGATCCTGGTTAATGAATCCTGAAAGTTTCAAGTGGATCTGATACTCTGAAGTATTTTTCAGGATTTTTCAAAGGTGATTTGACGTGAATTTTTCAACTTTTTCTGGTAATAAGTTAGAAAAAACCTCATAATTTTATTTCTGAGCTTCAGATTGACTTCAAATTTTCCTTGTTTGATGGAAAGATCCTGGTTAATGAATCCTAAAAGTTTCAAGTCGATCTGATACTCTGAAGTATTTTTCAGGATTTTTCAAAGGTGATTTGACGTGAATTTTTCAACTTTTTCTGGTAATAAGTTAGAAAAAACCTCATAATTTCATTTCTGAGCTTCAGATTAACTTCATATTTTTCTTGTTTGATGGAAAGATCCTGGTTAATAAATCCTGGAAGTTTCAAGTCGATCTGATACTCTGAAGTATTTTTCAGGATTTTTCAAAGGTGATTTGACGTGAATTTTCCAACTTTTTCTGGTATTAAGTTGGAAAAAACTTCATAATTATGTTTCAGAGCTTCAAACTGACTTCAAATTTGCCTTATTTGATGAAAACATCCTGGTTAATAAATCCTGAAAAGATCAGATACTCCGAAGTATTTTTCAGGATTTTTCAAAGGCTATTTAACATGAATTTTCCACCTTTTTCTGGTATTAAGTTGGAAAAAACCTCATAATTTTATTTCTGAGCTTCAGATTAACTTCATATTTTTCTTGTTTGATGGAAAGATTCTGGTTAA